TGCAAACCGTTGACTGCTGGCTTGTAGCAAGTTTCTGGAAATGAAAGGTTCAGCTGTAGGCAACAGGCACAAATATGGTGCTGGTTTTCTGGCACATGGGGGTGGGGGGAAACCATGCCAGTTCATTATTTACCCATGACAGTTTAAGAAGCACCAATGTATGAAGCAGTGATCTCTACCAAGTTTGTGTATTTATTTAACCAAACGGAAGTGAGGAAGGTTCCAGTTCAAACGTTGTGGCAGTGTTAGTTTCTATAGCAACTGGCACCTTAATTATTAACCTTTGATGGAGACAAATTCAGTCAGGTGTGAACCATCTTGCCAAGGAGACTACCTGTGTTGTACAAATGTTTGTACAGCATGTTTGTTCTCCTATTCTAACCCTCCCATTTCCATTAGGCTTTGCAGCCTAGCAATTCAAAACTAGTGATTTTCATGCAATTACTATGTCTAGTCCCTGCCAGATGTGTTGGGTTGGACTATAAACTTCTGTACTCTCACCACAAGGGTGAAACAGGTTGTGCTATTTAAATATAGCCCAAATTGAAATACACTATTATTGTAGCACCAACAGAAGAGAGTCCTAATTTGGATATGGTTTGGAGAAAAGATGACTAAGAAGGGACATGATAGCCATATTTAATCATTCACACTGAAGAAAGGGACAGGTTTGTTTGTAGCTGCTCTTAAGACTAGGACACAGAGTAGTGGATTAAAATTGCAGGAAAGTCTCCTTCTCTGGAGGTCTTGTATCAGAGGCTGGATAGCTATCTGTTGGGGGTACTTTGATTGTATATTCCTGCATGCAGAGGGTTGGACCGGATGGCCTTTGTGGTCTCTTCAGATTCTGATCCCATGGGAAATCTCAATGCACCCCCTTGAGGGAGTTGTTCAAGTAAAAGTCAGCAAGTTTACAGGTAAATAGGATGCTGGCATAATCCATGCCTACATTCGGCAGATGCATGAACCTACTGTTATATCTTTCATCTGATGACACAATTCTACCAGTTACCTGGAGGCTGTTCATGTGCTAAATTAACCATTTGGAAGCACTTTCATTGACTGACTCATTTGCAATTCAGGGGGAAGGAGATTACAGCTGTCTATACCTGGTTGCACAGCGGGTTAAACTGAACCAAAAGGTCGGCAGTTCGAATCCGGAGAGCGGGGTGAGCTCCCACTGTTAGCTCCAGCTTCTGCCAACCTAGCAGTTAAAAAACATGCAAATGGGAGTAGATCAATAGGTACAATTTCAGCGGGAAAGTAACAGTGCTCCATGACGTTATGCTGGCCACATGACCTAGAAAGCATCTACAGACAACGCCGGCTATTCGGCTTAGAAATGAGCTGAGCTCCACCCCCTGGAGTCGGGCACGACTAGACTTAATGCCAAGGGGAAACCTTTACCCTAACCTATACATGTATCAGTTCATCTTCAACTGGATTCCTACTCAGATATCAACATGAGATGCCAGATTGTGTATACCTCCCTCTAAAATACAGGTATTACCTAGGGAGACTGCCAGCATCTAACCAGGGTCTCAAACAGAGATTTGTCATGCCATTTATTAACATAATCCTTCTTTCATATCCATGTTTTCAGGTCTATTTCAAATAGACAATTTGTGGGCCCCAGATTTGCATTACGGAATTGGTTTGTTCACCAACTCTAGCTAGAACAGCCAAGAATGAGAGATCATTGGAGTCAGTCTGAAAATCTCTAGAGAGCCACGTTGCCCATTCCTGACCTAGAATATTCAGTATGTCAAAACAATAGGATGTGAGTAGTTTAAGGACAGATTGGAACATTCCTAAGAGTTAGAAGGCTGCACCTGCTGTTATTACAAAAAGCAAGACTGCAGAATGGAAGGGAGGTAACAATTTTACTCTGTATTTAAAATCCCTTTGCTGTTATTGCGACTTTTTGGCGTCTTATGTTCGTTCCTTCAGGAAAAATATATAAAGGAATCCCGTAGCAAGCACCTTTCAGACTGAGGTGCTTTCACCTGACAAAGCTGACTGAGGTCTGCAAAAGCCGATGCAACAGACTTCATTTTCTCAATTTCAAAGGTGCTACAGAATTCCCTTGCAACTTTTTGATGCTGAAACAGACTGACATGAGCTACGTCTGTGCTACTAAAAGCTGCCACTCCTGAGAACCACCAATAGAAGTTTCCCATACTGGACAGAAATCACAGTAAAACCATTATTGATAAGCCCACCTGAGTTTGTTTGTTAACATGCACATTTTATTTCATGAAGCAAACAGTCACGATTTTAATAAGTTATGAGATACAATATTACAATCCTGCATTTATTCCAGTTTATTTTGCTTTTACTTAATAGTTTACAATGTTGTGAGTATTTCACATTAAGGCACACAGCACAGTTAAAATCCTGTTACTTTATTTCCCCTCCAAGAAGCTGTGCTTAACTTAGTTCACTGATATACAAACTACAAAAATAAAGTTGACCCAGGAGAATTTTTTACTAAACAGGGAAAGGAACTAAGTCACTTGCAATTAAATCTTTTCCTCCATTGACCACCATGTAAAGCTGAGAAAATTCTGCTTAAAAAATTGGAAAATTTGTATAACCATTGAAATAGATACTTGAGACCTTTTTTGACATTCTGAATGTTAGAACAGCTATGTACTCATGTCCTTCTGCCAAAACAAAGAAGGGGATTCAACATCTGTGCATGAACTTAATTTGACTTATTAACTAACCCAAAAACATCCAGAGTCATTTAATGGTTAACTGCTGAGATTCGTTTTCACATAGCCATTACTTGATATTATGATGCTTGAATCCCAATATACTTTTTTACTGGACTGGACTAAGCACCTGTGGAAATTAAGAATTTTTTCAATACAGCCAATCTGCGTTTCCTGAACATTCAATGGGCAGAAACAGTCAGCAATCCTTTGCAGTAAGACTTATTGCAGGTTGTATTGAGGGCATCACAACTGATCTTGAGCACTCAGCAAGGTGCATCCCTCTGTGTGAGAACGTCACCCTAATTTGGCATCCAGTCAAGAACCATCATAATTAAAAGCAAGCCACCACCATAAGAACAATAATAAAGGCTTCTGGAAACAGCCCAAGGCCCTCTTTTGAGTCCCTTTAAGGAAAAAAAGGCAAACAGTTCTAATTTCCTCCAAATGTAAACAGCCAAGCATCCTGTAAAACCTTTTAGTGTTCGGCTGTAACATGATTTTGAATTTTCATTATCAGGTACTAAAAAAACAAGTCAAGTATACAAAGGCACATTAAGTACCACTTTAACCTCATTTCTTTACAGATGAACCTTTAACTGGCAAATGCCAACGTGATATTCTACAACTAAATGAAATGTTTCCAGTCTAAAAACACCCATCGCAAGTCAGTAGTTTAAGATACCCAATCATCCAAGACAAATTCCAGTTTGTAAAATCTAAAATCCACAAAACAAAAAGACAGCATATCCTTCAGTATTACATGATTTTGTACTGATTCAGAAAGGTAGAGTTGGAACGTGACCATAGGAGCACACTGGATAGCAGTGATACGTAAGACAATAGAAAGGGGTACTTTAAACACAATGAATTTAATAGGGGGAACATTAAAAATGTGCATTACATTTCTTGTAGGAGCGCTCACAGTATTGCAATGTACAATTTCATTTGTAGAAAGTAGTATCTTTTGAAAAGAGGTGAACTTAGGGAACAGTAACATGGAACGGGCTTCCGGGAATGTGTTCTTCACCCCATTTTACAGCCAGAATGTAGTCACCCTTCTCCTTCACAACGTATGTTACATTGTACTGGTGGTTTCCCAAGTGTTTCACAGATACTTCTTCACAAGGTGTTGTTGGTCCATGAACTCCAACCAACAACATATTTGAACCTAAGACAGAAGGAGAAGGTTAGCACTACCATAACAACAGAAAACACTGGCTCTGAAATTAAACAATTTAGGAACTCAATAAATATTAAGTGTTTTAATATGTCTACGTCGGTGATTCCCAACGTGTGGGCCGTGAGACCTAAATAAGGTCCACGGCTCTAGATTAAATATGGTTTTCTGTTGGCAAACAGATGGCGACTACTGGATGGCATATGTTTTGTATCAGAAAGTAGAGCTGATGTGGTCTATCCAATGCAATTTTATGAATCAGCACCCCAAATAATCAAACCGAATCTAAAGTTGACCAAAAACTGATTCGTAACCCTTTTGGTATTAATATTGGAGAGTGGTCCCTGCTCAAAGTAGTCCCTGGTTTTTAAAAAAGGGCTGGGAACCACTGCTCCATGTAATGTATAATTAGTGTATGTATGTATGTATGTATGTATGTATGTATGTGTGTGCGTGTTTGTATAGACACATTATACAGCCAAGATATATAGGCAAATACACACACCAGGTTCTAAACTAAACTTCCAGTATTTTGTTCCCACAGCAGTCTGTTCATTTACTTCCTTGCTGCATGCAATGAGTGACTTGATATTCCACTATCAATAGCAATTCACGCATTTTTTTTTACCTGTGACATAAATGCCCTAATGGTTTTCTTAATCCTCAAGACTTACAACAGAAGTGAAAATTTCAGGTCTGGTCGCTAAATTGGTAAGACACTCACACCCTTTCTAGAAGGGCAAATTACCTGCTTTGCTGCCATCAACGGAGAAAGAATTTTTCTGGCCCACAAAAGCTCTAGAAAGCCCTGCCCCTCTGGAGGTGACTTTGCTTGCATCAGATGAAGATTTGGGAATGGCACTGTAGCAGGTATCAGTTGTTGACCTGGTGACAGACTCCACCATGATAGAAGACATTTCATTTGAGACGCCTGGGCTAACCAATCGCTGACCTTAAAAAAGGAAATGAAATGAATTAAAGCTCAGCCTAGCAATATACCTACACCTTTGTTTGAAGTCAATATTAACAGAATTGTCTGCTATTTGAAACAAGTCAATGATGCTGAACCCCCATCTTCTTCACTTTGAACCTCTTCCCTCCCAAACAATGCAGTGAGATCAAAAGTCAATTTTAAGGACCAGCTCACTTCTCTTACCTGTCACTTTTGCCTTGAAAGGGCTACCAGCTATGTGATTAGGGCCTCCATATTTAACTCCAATTAAGTAGTTTCCTGGAGCCATAGGAGTGTACATGACATTGTAGCCCTCTGGAGCTTCCTGGCAATCCATTTTCACCTTCGATGGGCCCTCAATGGTAACAGCAAGGGTACCTGGGCCAGCTTTGGTGGTGTCTATAGTAAACATAGACTGCAATCCTGGAAAGAAAAATACACATTTTTAAACGTAATACTACTTTTGTCTTCAATTTTGGTTTGTATTTAAGTGTACAGACAGAGATTTCAATGGCTTGCAAATATTTTTTCCCAAAAACCAACCCAATAATTTTACCAATTTATATAAGGGACATAATTTTACTATGCCATTGTATATAATGGGAATTGAGCATCCATGGATATTGGTGTCCTGAACCAAATCCCAGCATATACCAAGGGCACACTATACTTCTGACTGAATATTACTGTAAACTACTTCAGAGTCTATTATTGGGAAGAAATATGGGCTCTAAATCAAATAAATAAATATTAAATATATGGGGGAAAACCAAAAAGTTCCAAAATTCAGCACACACCACCTTACTTTTAATGTACATTTTAATGTAAGGTGACACATTTGTGAAATATGTGCCACATATGCAGGATCATGAATAACTGTAGTTCTTCAGTGTCTATACAGAAATATGTTTTTGCCACATCCTCTATCATTTATTGATAATGAGAACCTGACCCTCTTGAAAATGACAATCAAGAGTATCAGACTAGGCCCTTCCAAGTGTTGTGCCCTGTCACAGGAATGCACGTGCAAAGTGGAATCATATCTATTTGTACTGTCTGAATCATGCCAATCACAAGTTTCTTGATGGCACTACAAGTGTGCTTGCAAAACCTATTTCACACTTCCAACTGTTGTTAGACAAAAATGTGAAGGGAAGAACAAAACAAAACTGGATGCATTTGTATAAAAAAAACCTCTTCTTTTAAACGTAATGGTTACATAGAACCCTGCTACAGAGCCAATAACACCCCAAAAGCTAATTAGCGATGATGGTCAATCAATACTTTGCTAGTCAACTGACATGAGAGAAGCCTCCCCGCAGGACAGTAACACATCCTCTAGGAAATGTCTTCGTAGAGAGCTGATTCTCTCCCACCAGAAGCAACTTGCAGCACCTCAATTTGCTCCTGACATAATAAATAAACTGACAACTGATATTTCCTTCATCAGTTGTTTCAATCAATGATAATTTCTTCAATGCCCATAGAGAAAGCAAGGAATGAGCACCAATGCCATCATTTAATACAAGACTAGAGAATCCTTGTCCTGCCAAGCATTTCAAAGTCTCACTGTCCCCTTTCATTGGCCATGCCAAGGGGGGCAGATGTGGTTGTGGGCCAGAATATCCAGAGACAAAAGTTCACCACTCTGGCTTTAAAGTATCTTTTTGAAGAAAGCCAATACACTCAAGACAATTTTGTCCTTCAGCAACCATTTAACCAAGTGCTAAAGCAGAATGCTACACCTCATAGAAATTGTTCAGATAGATTTGGCATCTAATTCTAAAGTTGCCTCGACATTGGTTTTTTCCTGCTTCATAGTTCAAATAAAAAAACTCAGGCTAGCTAAATACAAGGAATGCAGATTTCCTGGAAAAGAACTCTTCGGTATTCTAATGCCATAAGAAGATGGGGAAAAGGTTTACCTGTTGTGCCGCTTTCAAGGCCTGGGCCATAGGCAGTAACAAGAGCTGGGCTTTCGACCTGACCTGGTTCTCCAACTCTGACTTTGAAAGGACTGCCTACAACATGGCTCCCGTTGAACTTCACATCAATAGAATGAATACCATTTTCACGTGGGATGAACCGTACAGCGTATTTATCTGTAAAACATATATAAAATTGTTATTTAGAACTTGCCAATAAGATAGTGCACTTGTCAACCTAAACTACACGATAGCCTTTTATGCTCGTATGTCGGGGACAGAATGCTTCTGACCCTAAGAATCTGCTGCCTGAGGTTTGAACTTTATTGTGCTTAATGGCCTGACCAGCCTGCCCTCGCAGAGGACATGCACCAGAATTTGAGTTGGCATATTTAAACCAGGCTTTGCCTCTTCACTTTCAACTACAATAAAGTTGATTTGTTTCCAAGAAACAAAAACTATTGGTAGAAACTCAAGACCAATCTTCCTTGAACAACAGTTGTACATGTTCACTGAGAACCAAGTTTCTTTATTCCACAATAAACATTAGTACAGTTGTCCCTCCACATTTGCCTATTTCACTTATGTGGATTTGATTATTCATGGCTTTGAATAATATGTTCTCTTTAAAAAAATACTCTAGGTCCTGCTCAGGCCCCTATTGCACAACTGAATATGATCCCACATTTTCAGCTTTGAGCTGAAATATATGACAGTGTGGACTCAGATAACCCAGTTCAAAGCAGATATTGTGGGATTTTCTGCCTTGATATTCTGAATTATATGGCTGTGTGGAAGGGCCACTTGTGGTCAACTTCTGCCACAGAGTTACACTGGAGGATCTAGTTTCCGAGAGAGAGCACTTCTCTACGCACTTATAGATCCTCCATGATTTTTTTTATCAACTTCCAGTGAAGGTTAACCACAGAGTTCCACTGGTGGGCCTAGAGATACCTAGAGAGGTTTTCTCTCAGGTTTAAAAAAATTATTCACTTTTTCTCATTTTTGCAACAGTCCTATGCACCTAACCCCAAGGGAATGTGAAGGGCAGATTGTATGCTAAGGTATGTATTTCAGTGAGCCAGCACAGGTTAGTGATTTGAGTGAATTCTGAGTCTGAAGGTCCTTTCACAATGCCCTTTATCCCAGGATCTGATCCCAGATTATCCACTTTAAACTGGAATATATGAGTCTCCATTGCCATCATACTCTAATGGCCTTATACAAAGGCAGGGCCAAGCTTCCTCTGGAGACATCTTGCCAAGATATTCCTAGAATAGGATTGACTTACGATGACATTGACATAAAAGCAACAACAAATATATCTTGCTGTACAAAATGTATCACTGGCCTGATGGTTGTTCTGGAAACATAGCTAATATTTTCCAAGAGATGCAAGCCCCACTGGCATTATCACAATCATAGAATCATAGAGTTGGAAGAGACCTCGTGGGCCATCCAGTCCAACCCCCTGCCAAGAAGAAGGAAAATTGCATTCAAAGCACCCTTGGCAGATGGCCATCAAGCCTCTGTTTAAAAGCCTCTAAAAAAAGAGCCTCCACCACACTCCGGGGCAGACAGTTCCACTGCTGAACAGCTCTCACAGTCAGGAAGTTCTTCCTATTGTTCAGCTGGAATCTCCTTTCTTGTAGTTCGAAGCCATTGTTCTGCGCCCTAGTCTCTATGGCAGCAGAAAACAAGAGGATACATGGCTATCATGTCTCTTCTCAGCCTTCTCTTCTTCAGGTTAAATGTGCCCAGCTTTTTAAGCCACTCCTCATAGGTCTTGTTCTCCAGACCCTTGATCATTTTAGTCGCCCTCGTCTGGACACATTCCAGCTTGTCAAAATCTCCCTTCAGTTGTGGCACCCAGAATTGGACACAATATTTCAGGTGTGGTCTAACCAAGGCAGAATAGAGGGGTAGCATGACTTCCCTGGATCTAGACACTATACCCCTATTGATGCAGGCCAAAATCCCATTGGCTTTTTTTTTTTTTTTTTTGCTGCCACATGACATTGTTGGCTCATGTTAACTTGTTGTCCACAAGGACTCCAAGATCTTTTTCACACGTACTGCTCTCAAGCCATGCGCCCCCCATTCTACGCAAGAAAGTAAAGACACTGTTGGAATCAATCTGCAAGTTGTACTAAAAACAAGAAGGGACACAGTGTGGCAGAATGGAAAGTGGCTTCAGCTAACATACTGCTGGTCACAATATTTTACCTTCTGCTGCATCCAATATACAGACCAATGGCAAAGTGAAGAAGTTGTGATATGGCTTTCTATAAAACAGCACATCCCAATAGGCCATCAATGTATCTGTAACCTTTCTCAGCTAGATGGGAACCTATATGCACTAGCATACTTTGCCTTTGCAAAAGATTCGGGGATAAAATGACAAACAGAAGTTGGTTCTACTCAAGCATTTGAAGCAAGGAAATCATTTCCAACTTCTTATGAAGTACAGCTTCTAGAATTTGGGCTCCAAAATAACTGCCTAATTTCCACTGAACATGTTTCTTTATTGGTATGTGGTGACATTTTGTGAAGATTTATGCATGCTGGAATGCTGCAATACTTAACACATTCTATGGTTTCACCTGGTTTTCGTGCTTCCTTACCTTGCTCCAGTTCAGAAACATGACACTCTTCTACAGCTCCAATTGGGCTGTGCACTTTAGCATCAATCTTGCCCTTTGCCCCATTAAGTCTAATTGCGAAGGCTGCTGGCTGGTTAACTTTCAACCCAGACTCCTAAGAATGCAACATTGAGATTATCACAGTCTGACATTTCGATTGCAAGGAAAACAGTCTGCAACAGTCCATAATTCAGTGTCTCTGAAGGCAAGAGAAGCATTGTACCATTCCATCTAAAAAATCACCACAGAACTAAGATGAAATATATAGTAGGACCATATGTCCTTTTAATAAAAGGACCGTGTCATCGAAAAATGCATAAATTCTGCTCTTCGCAGAAGCATCTCTGGACAGGGACTTAAGTGCCCCATCCTTATACATATGAAGAACTTACTCAGTGGGTAACCCTCAACCCTCACAAACCATTTTTCTCTCTAGAAAGAAAAAATGCGATTTTCCCTTGAAAAGCTAAAAATAATCCCTTAAAGAAAACATAAGACTTCTGAAAAGCCTTTCTAAAAATGTTCCACAGGTTTTAAAAAATCACACTCTCAGAATCCCAATGCCCATAGGTGACATTTTTGGTAACAGTGAAGGAGGAACCAGAAGCGTATCTGAAATGCTGCTCAGTATTGAACATTACCTAGAATCATAGAGTTGGAAGAGACCTTGTGGCCCATTCAGTCCAACCCCCTGACAAGAAGCAGCAAAATCATAGGAATGGAACAATGGATGACGAACCTGGACTACGCTTGGATGATGAGAAGATTGGGTACGGTTGTTTTTCGTAATAATTGTGCATTGTAATTGCTTATTGGTAATTTATGGATAATGTGTTAAGTCAATTGTTATATGTTGCATGGAACCACTGCTGTTTCTACTGTTTTTACTGTTTGTGAACCGCTGTGAGTCGCCTTCGGGCTTGAGATACAGCGGTATATAAGCAAAGTAAATAATAATAAATAATAATAATAAATAAAATCACATTCAAAGCACCCCTGAGAGATGGCCATCCAGCCTCTGTTTAAAAGCCTCCAAAGAAGGGGCCTTCCATCACATTCTGGGGCAGAGAGTTCCACTGCTGAACAACTCTTAAAGTTAAGAAGTTATTCTTAATGTTCAGGTGGAATCTCCTTTCCTGTAATTTGAAGCTATTGTTCCGCGTCCTAGTTTCCAGGGCGGCAGAAAACAAGCTTGCTCCCTCCTCCCTATGACTTCCCCTCACACATTTATACATAGCCATCATGCCTCCTCCTCTCAGCCTTCTCTTCTGCAGGCCAGCTCTTTAAACCACTCTTCATAGAGCTTGTTATCCAGACCCTTGGTCATTTCAGTCGCCCTCCTGTGGACACATTCCAGCTTCCCAAACTCCCTTAAATTGCGGTACCCAGAATTGGATGAGTGTGTGTGTACATATACACAGAAACAGTCCCAGGTAATATGCCTATGTGTTTCCTGTCTTTAACTATTGGGAAAATCAAGTTATATCACCAGGGGTGTTAGAGCACAACGTTTTGCTTTAGTACATAGCTTACCTGCAATTCCATTCACAGTTTTACCCTCAAGAGAGAAATAAATTGGAATGAGCAAAAGCTTAAAACCAAAACTGGACACTAAACATCATCAAGCAGCTTATGGAGTAAAGAACAAAAGCCTGTTTCTGGAAAAGGATCACATCTCTTCCCCCACCCTTGTGCTCATCAATTTTATTTCCCTCTTCAGGGTTAAAATCATGTGACAACACACATTCTGTCAGGAGTCTTTAAATGAAACACAAGAAAAACATCAGTACCACAGCAGCTAATTAGCGTCCTTGTAACTCCTTGTTTCAGTGGAAATTTGGCTAAAGAACTGGACTGGACTGACAGTCAAGGGCCAGTGCACAAAAGCACAGGTCCTGTGTGACTCTGTAATCTACCTACCTATCAGTCCCACCTTCAAGATGAAGGAAAGCGAACACATGGTAGCGGGACCTGGCTGAAACAAAGTCTCTCATTCAAAGTCATTACAATCTAGGTATAGGACAGGTCTAAAATGTTACTTGCATCAAGCTATCTGCTAACCACACAAATATAAAAATAATGGGCTACACAGAGTCTCAAATTTTTAAAGGCCTGGCATTCAAATTACTTTTGGCAGCTACTAAAAACAATTCAAACCACAAACCTGTGGTTTTGTGACACCTGCACAAGTGTGAATTACTACTTTGTGCTTGTCCCCTGAATCCAATCTCTTCAGTCAAGTTCATTATTAGAACCTAGCAACATGCTTCAATATTGGTCCAAGATCCTATCTCAGTGTAGTTATGCTGGAGAGGGACAGGAAGTGGCAGCAACTGACTCTGAGCGGCTATTTCATGAGGACCCAGCTTCTGGTGTGTTGTGGCAATTCTCCACACCAGCTCTCCCATAGTGTCTCAGCTCCGAAGACCCTGGATGTCAAGCAGTCAGGAAAGAGACACCTCAGAGTGAAGCGTCTTCTCCCATCAGCATTGCTCTCCCACTTGGGTGAACACAAGACTTCTTCCATGCCTTGCCTGCATATGAATAATAAGGCTGCATCTGCAATCGTTAAAGGCAACTGGCCATGGTTATTTCTGATTGCTGCCAAATATAGTCTTACAGACCTAAACTGAACTACTTAAACAGGTAATGTAATATTAATTTTATGAGCTACTGGAAAATATAGCAATGGGGTTTCTTTTTTCCCGAACAAGTGTACTATGAAACACTGATTTATGTCAGGAGCTGTCCCCTATTGAAAAGGCCTGACTGCCTGCCAAGGATTTCGTCCTAAGAAATTCTGCTACTGAGTGTAAGAGCCTGAGAACAAGGATGAAATCAGCCTGTGGTAAGCTGCATAGATATTTCCTTGTGTCTCACCTGAAGGCTCATAACAGTGAGCCTACGCGCATCATCTGAAGGAGCTATCACAGGAACCAAGTAGGGGCTCTCAGGAATATGCTCATCATTGAATTTGACGGACACCTCGTAGTTACCTGAAAAACACAAGAACTTCATTCAGCAAACAAGGAATTAAAAAGTGTGCTGCAAATTATTAATATTTCAGGTCATTAATAAATTTTATACCAGGTTCTTGAGCAGTATATGATACACCACAAGAGCCATCCTTATGATCTTCAAAAGTGATTTCTGCTTTGCTTGGGCCTTCTACAGCAATAGAAAGCCCTCCAGCTCCAGCTTCTCTTGTCCATATGCTGAATTCAGCTGTAAACAAGAGACAACAGTAAGAAACAGACACATGATCTTCTAGTCACTTTCTTGTAACAAGTAGAATAACATGCCCAACATGCATTGCAACAGATGTGACGAGACTTACTATCAACCAGAGATGGTAAACCATACTAATCCTGGTTTGTAGTCTTGTATCAAGATCCTATATGACATGGCATAGCGTAACAGTTCTACATGTAGGATAACACTATAGCTAGCCATTCAACACCTCCCTAGATTTACTGTTGAGCCATTGTAGTCTCTCACTATGGCCATTCCATAGCTGGTGGGAAATCAGAGAAACATTTGGCTAGGTTCCACTAGTCAGAGACATCAAGATAATGTCATTTGATGAGTTTTACCAAGATTCTCCAAATGTCTTAAGATATGATAAAATCGTTTCATGTCTGATTATAGGGATGCTTCTCTGGTTCTACTTCAACTCATTCTCCACCAGCCATGGATGTACTAGCTCAACACAGGGAGGGAGGAAATACTAATATCCACAATAAACAAAACAAAAAAGACATAGACATAAGTTAGGCTTATGTCACTAACAGACACCAATCATTATTCCCACTGCATAACATCCAAATTCTTGTCATGTACTGTATGTAGAAGACATATCAGCAGCAGTCTTACCTGGGATGCCTGCCTCTGCTCTTTCAAGTCCTGGCCCACCAGCTCTGACTTTATGAGCTCCTCCTTCACCAAGTGGCCCAACAGTGAATTGGAACGGACTGCCTGGCACATGCTGCCCTCTGTATTTCACATCAACGGTATGGACTCCCATTTCTTGTGGCACAAAGCGGACACAGTATGTGTTTTTATCATGCTCTACAATTTCTGCGTCTGTAGTTCTCCCTGATGGGCTAGTTACCCTAGCGGACATGTCACCAATATCAATTTCTAAAAAGAAAGGAAAAGAGTCTGGTGTTAATGGGGAGGATTTTTTTTTTTACATGCTGCACTGAATGGTGCAAAATATCAAGAATCATGCAATGTGGGACTCCATTCACAATGACTGTTTTTAGAGCATCCTATGGATAGATTCACAATATTGAAGTTCTATTCCAGGTTAATTTAAATGACTTCTAAGTGAGAATACTGACTAGGGACAAAGTGCTTACAGAGTGCATGCAAGCTTTAAAAATACAAAATAAAGTTTCATATGTAAAATTCATATATGTATCCACTCCACCAGATTTATATACCAGAACAGAATAATATTGTATGGATAAACAACCAAGAGTTTGCTCAAAACCATCGAATACCGGTGAACTCTCTCTAAAAAGTCACCACTTAATGATGTTCAAAAAGCTGATAGGTTTTTGCATAACTCCTGAAAGGAGCTGTTTTTCTGCTAACAATGAGCAGGGACAAGCAGCATCGCTCAAGTGTTTTTAGCAGGAAATTTCTTTTTGAATCCCATCATACATTTTTGTAACACTGACTGCAATAGAAAAAAATGGGATTTGATAGTGGCCTAAAATATTAAGCCTTATCCTTTTAAAGAATGGGATTTAAAGGAACATGTGGAAAACAGACTCCATGACAGCATTAGACCCAAAATGGGAAAAAATATTCAAAGATTTTACATTTTAGCCTGTTCCCGTTTTGAAGGCTCACTCTATCCCCTAAAGAATATAAGCCTACAAGCATTTGACTATATTCCTACTTACACAGATGGTTTTTATTACCAGAGAGAGAAAATGCTTGTATTTATAACATTATTAGCTGAATATGAGATTTAGCCTCCAAGCACTTTGGAAAGAAAACAGCCATTTTTCTCCTATCAGTTGAGAATTACATACAAGACACAGTCTTTGCAACAAATACTAAGTGACACATTTACCATTCATGGGGGCATAAAGCAAATTTTATTGTAATATATAGGCTGTATATACAGAACAACCTCAATACTACACATACCCACAATCCCTACAAATCCATGCATATAATACTTGTGCAGATCCCAAAAACAGACTGATTGGAAACTTTCTCTTCTGGTATTAGCTGGGACATCAGTAAAAATGGGACACAGCCGTTCTCTCAACTGCGTCTGGCAGTTTTCCTCCTGCTCAGCACACAGGAAAGTGGGACTGAATTGGTAGGAAAGATAGGACAGTCTCTCCAGACATACAGCCATCTGGAACCATGTAACTATAAGGTGGCAACAGAGGAAGAGAAGAGAACAGAGGAAGAGAAAGGAACAGAAGACAGGAAGAGTAAGCTTTGATTAGAGTAGCAGAGAAAGGAAGGAAAGAAAGTGGCACAATATATAGTAAAAGGGAACAGCAGCATGCTGAAGGATAACATCTAATTCAAATATTTGAAGTAGACTGTGTGATCTTTCAATGAGGAGAATATGTTCTCACAAAGTTTTTAGCGAGTTAGTTGACAAAGGCAAGTTAAAAAGCCAGGCAAGTTTTACTACTGTGTCTTTTTTCCCAGTTGGATCCACATAAAAAAGAGAGGGTAAATATACCTTGCTATACTAGCAATTTTCCACTCTTTCACACAAAAAATGGACCAAAAAACCTGTTTGGATTACTGTAACCCACTCTCTATGGGGCTACCTGAAGCCAGTTATAGGGAGCGCATAACTCCCTAGCTGAAACAGCTTCAATGGTTATTATTCCATAACCAAGCAAAATTCAAATGGCTGGCGATATCCTATAATGCCTCGTATCAGAAAGACTGTATCTCCCTACACAAACCGACCCAAGCATTATGGTCTTCAGCATAGGGCTTTCTCTTAGTCCCATCAATTTCACAAGTAGAGTTGATGAGGACCTGGAGAAAGCCTTCTCAGTGGCTGCTTCCAGGCCAAGGAACTCAGTTGCTCCTTACTCATTCTCCTTCTGTTGGCATCAAAGACTCTTCAATTTTAAAAATCCTTCAGTTTTTAATTAATTGTGGTAGTGCAATGGGTAGGTTTTAAAGTATTCTTTAATTGTTTTCAACTAATATTCTTAATTGGTTCATATGTAATACTTTAAAATATTTCAGAATAGTTTTTATTGTATTGTTCAATTTATGGTTTGAGCCACTTCAGGTTCCTTATGGAAGAAGAAAAGCATAATATAATCTAAACAAATAGGCAGAGGGCAACAAGAATCAACACTGTTCTAATGTCTGCAGTTACAGTGTTGTTTAATTCTAAAAGACACTCCATTATAATTTTGGGTTGCTAGACAAAACACTGCACTTTTCTAAATCTAAATTGAAAGTCAAGTCTCTCTGGGAGGGCTGAGAAAACTGACAAGTGACTGCGTGCACCCCATGCTGGAAACAAAAAGAAAAACTAGGGTTTTTTTTAGTGATTGGCAATATTTAGATCTTCCAGTTTCTGAAGACAACCATTCTAGGAAGAAAGATGGGACAGAGGTTGTATAAATAAATCCAAACAACTAACTAAACCAAACATTGAGACTTCTTTGTTCATGCTCCAGTGGAAATTAATATAGCAGAGAATGAAAAATGAAGTCCTGTATGTTTTGCATAGCCCACCTTTCAATCAGATAGCATTAAACCATACCAGAGACTGACATTTACCTGGAATCTTTAAGTTGAGATCACACAAGCTTCCAACGGTGGCCACAGACGGAGCCCTTCGTGCACGGGTGATGCTTTCCTTCACTCTTCCTTCACCACTTACTTTAACTGTGAATGGACTCCCTTTAATGAGTACAAACAAGATCACACTGAGTTGCATTTCTCAGAGGAGAAGTAAACAAGATGTATATATAGGCAAACGAGAATTTTTGATAAGTATACTAGTTGCAAAAAGTTATTTTCACAGTGGCTTAAAATTCTTTTCCACTCAGCAAGACTGGATCTCTTCATTTGAACACAGACAAAAAGTAGGAGACAAGTCAACAGTCATGGCGAGTTTTAATGTAGCAAACAAACTATGTATAAAAGTGGTAGAGAAACCTGTATACGTCAATAGAAGACACACTCTGAAACAACATAACTTCAAAAGACTTTACAAATGCACAGATCTTATCATGTAGACTATTGCTAATGGATTATTCATTCAAGTATTTTCATATTAGCAATCCTCTGACAGTAAATCTAGAAAATCATGAGCACAATCTGTCCTACGAGTGAATTATTGCTTGCAGATAAGTTGAACAGTAGCTGACCTTACCCAGTTTTTCCTTTTCTCTTACCTGGGATGTGCTCATCAGCAAATTTAGTTGACACTATGTAAACACCAGGAACCGTTGGGAAGTATGACACCCTGCAAGTCCCATCATCTAGATCTTCTGTTTGGATATCCACTTTGCTCGGTCCTTCCACTGCTAGTGATATCCCACCATAACCTAGAAAAAAGCAGCAGCACTGAGAGCCAAAAACTATAAAGAGCTCCCACTTAAATGATTTTTTAAATTAAGGTGGATATTACATTATAGGCAAACCAGTAAGAGATATAACCTTACCAAATGTTCTTTTGATGATATACTATGAATTTTATCTTTCAAAGGTTATAAGAATGAAAGAGCATTACAACCTGCTCTGTTTAGTTCAAAATATACACACCAAAAATACAACACATGAACATGGAGCAAAGGGTGTGTTATGTGAGTATGTGTATAAAAATAATCATACAGAAGTCAGATGTTCTGTCTATAGCTGGAATTTCCAGGTTCTAAATGCTTTCAAACCATGGCCAAATTTCAAGAAACAAAGAACAAGAGATACCACTGTTGTAGGAGTCAACCTGGTTGCCTGATGCTACAATGGTTACATTTATATATCCAAGGAAGACTATGTTGTCATGTATCACATTATACATTTTTCCTGCTTACTTTGCTTATCTGTGCATTGTGTGTATGTATACATATATATACATACATATATACACACACGGTATATACTATTTTTTAAAATACTGCATTAAATTCTGCATGCGTATTATCCTCATGTAAGCTAGATTTCAGAGGAGGAACTGTCAAAACCACCTCTGAGTATTCCTTGCTTAAGAAAAACTTATGAAATTCATAAGTCAACAGGAAACATGAAGGAAGACAAACACACAGAGTAAAATATGCAGGTCAAATGTGAATTCTTTGGGTAACCTATAGCTCTCTTCATTTGATGGAATCAGAGCATATTATGTCCATCACTCACAGAAGTGTCAGTCACTCATACAAGGGAGCAGCTTTCTATAGTGGGATGACATGAGGTCCTTACCAGTCAAGGTTTGCAGAATGGATTTATAACACTAACCTGCTTCTCTTGTATCTACAATGAAGTCACACATTTCAAATGTGCGCCCTTCCACCAAGCCACGTCCATAAACTCTCGCTCTGTTCGCATCACCAATCTCAGACTGAACCACCATAATAGACACCGGGCTGTTTGGTACATGACTTCCATTCTTCATAATACTGACCAAGTGCTCTCCCACTTCCCGTGGAATGAATGAGATACCTGTCAAAGTGAAGCTGGTGGTGAGACAGATTTTGCACCATTCCACCTTATTAAAAGAAAAACCTATCCATTCTTGTCCCCGTTCACAAAAAGAAAATCCCTTACAAAACTGCAATAAAAACCACAGGAGGATATTCTGTGTTAATATTAAGGCAGCACCTGGAAATCCCCAAACTAATCACACATTTAGGAAGCTTACAGCAGCTCCCAATTATGACCCTGGCTAGTGAACTTAAGGTCAGCCTCCAATTTCCACAAGCCAGAGCCATCAATGTTGTGACTTCTAGGAAATACCTGGGAGACTTACCAATGTGGTTATTGGGTAGTCTTTTCAGAAGACAAGGCTCATCTCTGCCAGATGGTGCTTTAATATGGGCGGTCAAGAGGCTCAGATCAGTCTCATTAATGTCCAGCAAGAAATCAGCAGCAGAGCCAAGCTTAACTTGGGAACGCCTTCTATTGTCATCTTTCGAAAAACAGATTCCCCATTAAAATATACACTAAACAACTTTTCAGCAGTATCTTTAACCATCATTTTGTCTTAAAATTTGAATTAAACCACTTGTGCCTTTCGCCTTAGAATTTAAAGATAAAGCTTCAGTGAACGACGTAAATATACATGTTAATCATATGTCTGAGAAATTTGTAGTGTCACATCAGTTATGCTCCAAGAAACTGGGAAGCTAGATGAGCAATAATTGAACAATACTTGAATTAATAACTCAGAAGCATTTACTACAGGGAATATATTTTGTGGTAATTTTTACAATGAATCCTCAGTTTTTAACATCACTTTCCACAAAACCAAGTTGCCACTTCTCAATGTGAATTGGGTTTTTTTGTTTTTTGTTCTGTATTCTCAGTAAGCAACTTGGACAGAGTATCTGAGTATCAAAGAAAATCCCTTTCCATACACATATTTACACAGCAATACACCAGATCAGAGTATGAATCTGGAGACCAGGGTTCAAGTCCCTGCTCAGCCATGAAAATCCACTAACTAACTTTGGGCAAGTCATGTATTCTTAGTCTCTGAACCCCTATAAAAGGTTCATCTTAAGTCAGAAATCACATGAAGGCACACAACAACGTCAGATTACTAAATGCTGAGCAAGTGCAACACATCTAAGTCCATCCTTTATAAAAAAAAACTTCTCCATTTAAAAACATGCTCATACCTGTGATTTTGGCAATAAACGGGCTTCCTGCAATATGTTTCTCATTGTACTTGACTAAGATGCTATAATTTCCTGGAAGAGTTGGCAGGTAAGTGACTGTGCAAGTACCATCCTTATTATCAATGCAACTGATCTCCGCTTTTGAAGGACCCTCAATTGCCAAATCCAAGCCACCTATAAAAAAAAGGAGGAAAAACATTTCCAGGATTTTGCAACTTTCATTCCCAAGACTAACTGCAATCAGGCCATTCAGATCAAGAACAATTTTCGGGATTCTTCTGAGAAGGCAAGATGCAGTTCCAGCTGCCTGGGATCCTTCTGGAAAGGTTTGACAGAGCACCACAACTTGCATTCTTTGTGTGCAATTTGTATTTTAAAAAGTAGGAGCCCCTGGTGGCACAATGGGTTAAACCCTTGTGCCAGCAGAACTGCTGACTAAGAGGTCAGCGGTTCAAATCCGGGGAGAGCTCCCTCTGTCAGCTCCAGCTCCCCATGCAGTGAGATGGTAAAACATCAAACATCTGGGCGTCCCCTGGGCAACGTCCTTGCAGATGGCCAATTCTCTCACTCCAGAAGTGACTTGCAGTTGCTCCTGACACAATAAACAAGTGAACATTTTAAAAAGTAAAGGAAAATTAACTAACAAAGGTCTGTGTCGAACTACTTATCAAATCAGCTCTGATTTCATGTATTAAACAGCAGTCCTGCATGGGATACAAAATCCCATGCCAATTCTACATCCATGGAAATAATGTCTGTTATTATTATTATTATTATTATTATTATTATTATTATTATTATTATTAACTTTATTTGTACCCCGCTAGCATCTCCTGAAGGACTCGATGCGGCTTACACAGGCCAAGGCCTCAATAAAACATAGCATAACAAAATACACAACTTAAAGCAAATCAAAACAATTAAAGCAATATCAAACAACAAAACAATAAAAACAATACACCAAAACACAAGAAAACAGGGCCGGGCCAATGTAATGGGTACAGGTTAAAAGTGCTGATGTGACAGGTGGTATATCTGATTTTAGAGTAAGTGCAATGTGCGGGCAATCTTAAACTCTAATAAAGTGCTTCTGGGACATGTTACTGGAGTTTTCCTATTCTGGAAAGGCACATCAGAACAGCCAGGTCTTCAAGTTCTTCCTAAAGACTGCCAAGGTAAGGGCCTGTCTGATATCTTTGGGGAGGGAGTTCCAGAGTCGGGGGGCTACCACAGAAAAGGAGCACCCGGTGGCGCAGTGGGTTAAAGCCCTGTGCCGGCAGGACTGAAGACCGACAGGTCACAGGTTCGAATCCGGGGAGAGGTGGATGAGCTCCCTCTATCAGCTCCAGCTCCTCATGCGGGGACATGAGAGAAACCTCCCACAAGGATGATAAAACATCAAAAAAATCATCCGGGCGTCCCCTGGGCAACGTCCTTGCAGACGGCCAATTCTCTCACAACAGGAGCGACTTGCAGTTTCTCAGGTCGCTCCTGACATGACAAAAAAACCCAGAAAAGGCCCTGTCTCACGTCCCCACCAGACGCGCCTGCGACGCAGGTGGAATCGTGAGCAGGGCCTCTCCGGATGAACGAAGAGAATGCGTGGGTTCATAAACAGAGATGTTTAGAATATGTTTCAGTATCCAATCAATTTCACAAAGGACTCACACGAGCATATTCAAGCTTAACCATGGAGCTTACTTTGTGGCTTTAGTTAGCTCCCGGCTTAACATTAAAAATCCTCATTTCAGGTTTAGACAGGACAGTTTTGATGCACCATATAATTTCCAAGTACTTCAAAAAAAACATCACAGTCCTGCTAGCAACGAGTAAATATGGTGTTAATTGGCTTGTGCAGCCCTAAGGTTAGGGGTAACTTTATGGATGTATTACGGCGAAACTGGGTGAATTGGGGTAAGACTGTTTCATCAGTGAAACTGATGAATTAGCTCTATTCATTGCCCTCGAGTCTGTTTATAGCATTTGGCTTGCAGCATGAGTTCAAAATAACCGTGTTGAAATGTATCCTGCTTGTTTTGGGTGTCTTAACTTCCCAATAACCATGCTTATTTGACAGTTAAAACTCCCCAAACAGGCAGGATCCATTTCAACATCCAAGCATTTGAGATCAGGCAGGTGAATACTTACCTTCACCAGCATCTTCTGTGACTATGGTAAAAGTTGCCGGTTTGTTTGCTACACCATAGACAAGGCCAGGTCCATATGCAGTCACATTTCCACTGTTTGGATAGTTGACATAGAATTGTAGAGGGCTCTCTGCAGAGAACAAGATACTATACTTAAACATACATTAAGATGGATACTTTTAAACAGGTTGTTTTAATTTTCTAAAGGAGAAAAACACATGCATTTTTTATCCAATAATTTTAACACAGGATGATAAATGTATGGTCTTCTATCTGTCCACCTGTGATGCCCATCATCCCTCACCCTTGACTAATGCTGGCTAATGAGATTTAGTGTACTGAGAGTCACACTGAAACTATACAAACACACAGAGACACATTGCATTTTTCTTGGCTATAAGTAAAACAACTTGGAGGGTAATACATTCTAATTCCTTGGTTTAAAGACTCTTTTTACCACAAAGTGTTTTTTTACTGTAATCTCTTTGTATATTTCCTTTTGGAGTACTTTAAGTGCCCTGCTAAATAAAGCCAAAGATGCCACCACAAAACCTTGAATTAGAACACAAGAGCAAAGGTCCACTTCTGCTTTTATGTCAAGGAGGAAATAAAACAAAGACATGCTACCTCCAAGTATGCTGCTCACTTCCACCCATGTTAATCTTATCCAAATCAGGTTTCTAGCATCAACTAATGTTAGACACCCACAAGTCCAAATTTATGTGCACTTAAAAACAACCTACTTACAACATTTACTTATTTATATTTCTCTCTTATTTATTTATTTATTTATTTATTTACTGTCCTTGTATATCTTTGTACCAAAAATGTACACAGACAATTTAATGATACAGATTATATGAAAAAGTGCACAGCTTTTGCCAACAAAACTTGGAATGTGCCAGTCATCAAGCACAGCCTCTCCGCTCCTGACATCTCCGTTGCCTCGGCACTATAAGAGAGTTTTGTGAGACCAGTCACTCTTGTTGCCATGGTGTAGTAATGGTGAGGCCGTGGACCATATTTTAGTTCTTCTTGGCCACTGGTGGTCCACAAACCACAGATTGGGAACCACTACTTGGGGGTTTATGTGTTTGTTTTTAACTTATGTTTATGTTGTAGTTTTTTGCTAGTAAATGTGTACCTCTCTTATTTTTCAGTAGTTGTTACATTTTTAAATGGATATGACACATAATAAGCATGAAGGATTCTTGGTTATAGCTATATCAGTACACCACGACTTTATGTGCAAGTTCTTAAGCTTTTGGGAATTTACTCCCTATTTAGCTTTTCTCCCAGACAACAAGTATATACAATGTTAAGTGCCAAGTGGTAAACCCCAACTTAGCTAATACTGCTTGGTTTCGGAGGAAAGAAAGTCAAAAGGATTTTTATTCAACATTAATTTTTTGTTTACATAACCAGCTAGCAATATGATGTAAGCAGTCAGAGTCTGCCATCTTAGTATTTTCTCTAATTGGGTTTAGCTCTGAGATTCTACCCATACACTTCATTTTTTTATTCAACTTTCAATAGGTTTGCACTCAAATTATAAGTTTCAGTTTGATTATACAGTGGAGGGCACAAGCCTAATTCCACAAAAACCAATACTGTTTTAAGCCTGGCAAAGACTACAAACCCACTAAGAATTCCTGCGGCAGAGCAAGCAATGCAACCCAAAACCAGAGGACAGAAATGGGGCATCATCCAAAATAAGTATGACATAAATGCAGTATCATTCCAGCTCCACCCTCCCAGCAAATTCTAAAAGGCAATATACTAACCTGGAATATGGTTGCCCATGTATTTGATATGCATTTCATGCAATCCAACCTCAACAGGAGCATATCTGACTGTGACCGTGCCATCCTTGTTATCCATAATGTCAGCTGTTGCGGTTTTCCCTGAGGGCATGTGGACTTCCCCTCAAAAAAGAATGAAATACAATTCAAATACACAATATTTTTTTCTCAAAAATCAAAACCAGCTCCAAAAGATATTTTTATTCTCAATTCTGTATTTTATGGGAGTTCTTCTTTAAATCTTCCAGATACTGATGAAAAAAAAATGCTATCAGCTACAAAGATTGTTTGGGGTCTCTACTTCTCTTCCTTTCAAGAGTACAGATACATTTATTGATTTATATAGTAAACAAGAGCATAACTTAGGAAGAACTGCTTTAGAGAGAAATTTACAGTGGACAAATAGCATTTGTTATCACTATTGTATCATGGTGGAAATCACACCTGGGATTTGCCACAACCTGCCCAATCTGACAGATTTAGAGTTCAGCCAAGTCTTCTTACTTTGGACCAGGCTCAAGAAAAAAAGATGAAGAAGCCACAATGCAGGATTATGGACAATGGCAGCTATTTCAGGAGGGTTTTGTTTTCTTTCTCCTTCCCGCCCACATAAGGATTATGCAATTCAGTGGAACAATAATGTTGGGTTGAAAGTTGTTTTAAAATTAGTTCCGTGCATTAGTTACGTGAGGGCAAATACCCAGAAAACGCACACAAAGGGGGAGAATATGCAAAGAATCTTACTTGGATTATTTCATAGAGAGTAATCAAATGAGTGCAGACAGTTATTTACCAGTTATTTCTCCTTTTCTTACTGCAAAAGGAATGACCATATCAAAGGGTTTAAATCCCAAACCATTCATGGCACCATCAGGTACATAAGCTTCTTCTGTGACCTAAAGCATTAAAAAGTTACTGTCAATTTTTCTGATCCACTAGAGAATATTCTGCTTGACTAAACTGGTGGGTTCAGGCACTTGAAACCCAGAATGAAGGTATCATTCAACTACAGAGACCAAAACACAGGCTTGCTCTCAATCATACATGTTCAGAAGAGAATGTTTTAAACATGGAAATGGAGGAATGAAGACGCAAGACCCTTGGACATGTACAAGATGCAAGAGAGCTCCGTCTGAAATTTTTGATTATGGCCTGAAAAAAAGTAACCTTCCAAAAGAAAACACCAGAATGTAAAGCGAGAGCAGCAAGAACACTCCAGAAGGTACTGTTTGCCATCTTATAACAAGAGAGAAATCAGTATTAGGTCCCCTAAGAAAAGAGTCCCATAGCTGGAATGATTGTGAGGTTAGAAATTGTTCAAAATAGCATTAGCACAGCAATGAAGAAAGATCCTGAACCAAATTGGAGTTTTCCCTAGGCAGAGTTCTGACCACCATTAAGATGTGACATGAAAGCAAGCACGAGCAATTCCAAGACGCAATTACTTCTTGAATGGAAAATGGAAGAAAATGTTAAAAACAGAAACAAAACTTTTGTACCCAGGGCTGGAATCCAGGGGGACAGGCTGCATTTAGTGGTTCCTGAGACAATACTGCAACTTCATCTGGATCTGTAGCCTGGTTAGTGGCAAAAAGCAAGTTATAGGTTTTTTTAAAAAAAAATCTTCCTTCCATACAGCTAATAAAAACTATCACAAGGCATATATCTAAGCATATGGTCCTAGGGTGGCAACACTTTCAAGCAAACCAGCTGCACAAAGTAAAGTTGAATACACTTTGTAATGGTCTCTGGTTTTGCATACAACCCCCCAGCTGCCTCACTCCAAAACCTCACCAAAATCTTGAGGGAGGATGGGAGTAACATGGCTGATGGCAGAACTGAGTGGACAGCTATCATCACAGAACAACTAACTTCCAAAAGCCAATTTAGAACAACCACAATACCAAAACTGAACCAAATACCAAATTTCTTTCTTGACCCACTATTGAGGTCAAAGGCATCTTTCACTCCAGTCAGAAAGGAGTTGGAAGCAAAGAGAAGATCTGGAAGATCTGGAAGATTAATCTTTACACTCCACTAAAAGACTAACAAATGGTTGTTCATTTAGCTTCTGAAAAGAGGTTGCATGACTACTCAATTACTAAATAGATGAGGAAGAATGCAAACTTTGTTGTCGGGCAGCTGGGCTGATGTGGGTCTCATTTTGAAACGTCACTTCAAAGTCAAGCAAAACTAGTTACTGGCTATAATTTGAGATGTTCTATGACAGGCAGAAGTGGAGGGATTGTTTTTGTAAATTCTTTTGTCAATATTCAAAGTTGTTCTTTGACCTGCTATTGGGATCACTGAAAAAAAATGTGCTTGCTTAGAAAGTTCCAGCACCTTTGGTATGTTTGCTTGATCTTATCTTCCTGACTACACTCATCATCTGCTCTCAATCAACTTTGTCCCATTTCATATGCACAAATTCACTGGACATAAAGTTTTTAGCAGACCTTCTATTTACACCCTAGTGACCATCGCATTCCTGAGTCATTAAGGTTACACACAAGTTGCAAGGACAGCAGCTTGAGGAAACAATGGACGTTGAGAAAGTGCGAAGAAGGGAAGTGTTCGCCAGTAAGGTTTAGGGTGCTGCATTTCTCATTCGTGTATGCTAGAGGGATCTGAAAAGTAGGCCAACTTGTCACAGTTATTCTGCCAGCCATTTGTATCTCAAGTGGAGAAACTCTTGTTCACTTCAAAATTATAGCAACTAGTCCTCTTACCACAACAGTGAAGGGGCTGTTCGGAATATCCACTCCACCAAAGCGGACATAAATTACATAGGTTCCTGGATTAACAGCTGTATAATAAATGTCATATGTTCCATCTTCATTTTCAATGACCTCTGCTTCGGCTTCCGTGCCATCTGGTGTCAGTACAGTGCATGTCACTTTGCCCTTGCCCGCAGATTTAGCATCTACTACAAAGCCAACTTCTTCTCCTGTCTTCACTGTGGCTGCAATGCCAGGACCTGGAAAGCAATTTGTATGAATGTCAGGGAAGCTTCAGCATACCTTTGCCAAGGAAGAAGTATGATGTTTCCTCTTGGATGTCTGCACTATGAAAAACACAGCAAGCAAAACCAAAATTCCACCCTCAGAAGTAAAAATATTGATATAAACCTCTGGAAGCAGGCAAATACACACTGAGGGCCCTCTTCAAGGCACAGATCAAGTGTCTGACTGCTGTGTATAAAGGTAGAAGAACCAGAGAGAAATTCAACTGCCTTCAAGACCTATTTCTCATTGAAATGGCATTCCCACTATTGAATAATTTTATCAAGAACCAAACTGATCACATCCTTGAAAATGTCCAGTCTCTAGATCTACACAAACTAAAGCAATGGTGGGAATTATGCGGCTTTCCAGAATTTAGGGGGGTTTCAACTGCCAACATCGCTTGCCACAAAGTGGCCAGAACTTTCAGTTCAGTAATGTTATGCGAACCACACAACAGCCATCATAATACAGTGGAAGGTACTTTTGAGATACCTTTCCTATTGCTTACTGCAGCATAAGTACTCTCAGGGTAAGGGAAACCTTTTGCCATCCAGATGTTCTGGCACAGAACTTCTATCAGCTCCACCCAACCAATGATAAGACATCCTGAAAGCTGCAGCCAAACATCTGGAGAGCCAAAGTCTTGTCACAATAAACCAGAATTGTGAATGTGGAAAAAAGCTTTCCTCATATGAAGGGAGGAGCAAAAAAAGCAACTGGAAGGCACTGAAAAACAAACTGCTTGCCTGCAACTGTGGTTCTTCAAGTGATCATCAGTGAACCTATAGGTATAGATTGTTCTCTGGTTGTGCAGGGCCTGATTGGGAACTTCTAAAATTAAGGATGCCTCTACACAATAGAATTGATGCAGTTTCGCATCACTGAAACAGCCATGGTTCAATGCTTTAGGATCATTGGAGTTGTACTTTGGTGAGGCACCATCACTCTTTGGCAGAGAAGGCTAAACACCTTTAAAACCACTCTCAATGGGGTATAAAAAGAAACACAGGTCTCAGCTTAGACATATGAGGAAACTACATTTAAACATCAAACCCTAGCTGTTCAAGAAAAGTAAAAAAAATGACCATTGAAGAAGGTCTATGTCCAGTGAAGTCTAATTGTGTTTTTCAAGCAGTATCTTGAGTTTAGTGAGACATGTGCATGTCGTTATATACCTTCAATGAATGGAGTTGAACATACAAATAAGAGACACAAGAGTCACATATGGTTGCAGGTCTTGCTGTGATCAAATGCAAGATCACCTAACAAACCAATAGGTTTTGTTCAACATGCCCTTCCATCAAAATTGTAATTCTCAGGGGGTTTGTAGTAACCTCTCTGATCAAATACTCCTTTTTAGAGCACTTCTCTGCCCATGGGACTCACAGTATCAATCTGTCCTGCCCTGAACTGTTAGCAGTGTTTTTGTAATGTTTAAGTGCCCTATAGATTTAATATTTCTGCTTTGCTGATACAGAGGGGAAATTTTTGAGTATAGGCAGTCCACGAATTACAAACATCCAACTTACAAACAACTCATAGTCAGGAACAGGAATAAGAGAAATCTACTCCTAGGAAGAGAAATTCACTCCTGTAAGAGTTATCATGGAAATATTAAATCTATAGGGCACTGTCTTTATCAGCAATCCTTGTTTCCACAATCAGCCATTTTTTTCAAAATCCACTTATCACAGGAACAAAAAGTAAGGTGAAATCTTCTGAACAGGGGCACAGACAGCAAAAGAAGCATCACAGGGATTTTCACCCTTCCCTATGCTATCCAAAGCTAAGATATATATATATATATGACTTTGGCACAGCTGGATGCCGTTTTGTGTGTTCTGACCAATTGTACAACATACATACATACATATATACATATATAGATATATAGATATATACATATATACATACATATATATATATATATATATATATATATATATATCAGGAGTTACACTTTAAAATATACCGGTTGAAACTTACATATAAATTCAACTTAAGAACCAATCTTGTTCATAACTTGGGGACTGCCTATATCTTAATCAAGTGTGATATATCTACATAAGGTCTGTAGGATGACTGCATGGCTTACTTGGCTCCTAAACTTTGTGCAAGTACTTACAAGGGAAATTAGAAGACACTGAGGTAGGAATTTACCTGTTGCTAGACACTTGCTGGCATCTCCAGCTGGTGATACACGAACTCGGTAAGGAGAAAGAGGTATATCATCCCCACCATATTTAATGCCAACAGAATATCGACCCGTCTTGTCAGGAATGTACGTTACTGCGTAAGTGCCATCATTGTTGTCATGGATATCTGCCTTCTTTGGTTTGCCATCTTGGTCCTGAACATCAGAAGTAATACCAGAATTAACAGACAAGCCCTCTGAAGGCTGTTTAGTCTTGATAGTTCATTTTCTTTTGAAGTCCTGTTGATTTTAGCAGTAAAATGTCACTGACACTGAATTAACCCATCAAATTAGTTTGTTGCAGCTCATGAAATCTCACCTCATGGTCAAAAAGTCATTGGGAATAGGTCTTTGGGAGCAAATATTCAGACTCTTCAGATTTTGTAAGAAACAATGACTCTGGATCCCCACAGAATGTGTGTAGACAACTTACATGCACCAACATGAAGTAATCATGTTAACCTACTGCTTCCTTAACTTAGCTTATAATAGTCACCAGTGTCACTAAAAAATGTCTACATGTAGTATCTGTGTTGTGTAGTTGTGATGCAAGAGCTGTGATAATAAAGGTCCTTATTTGAAATAGGCTGGTTTGACTAAGATTTTAATTTTTTCCCCATAAAACATTTTTCAAAGATGCGAATTAGATAAAGGATATACCATAAATTGCAGTATTATGCCTAGTAAGTATTCAGCTCTTAAATTAAGGAGTTTTGTCTTGCTGCATGGGTTAACTAACATTTCTAAACCTATGCCTGTAATTACAAAAGCTTCCAACAAAGCTGTCCTGAAACTGAGCCCAGAACCACTACGATTAGCTCCCAATCATGCATTTGCCTTCTGCAAAACCTTGTATATGCTCATTCATGGTGAAAACTGCATACTGCACTAGTTTAGAGAATGTGAAAAGGCCAAATAGTTCACATTTAAAGCTCTTTATCGTGTATTCTGTACAGGACACCCTATATTAGAATCTAAAAATTTTGCCTGAAAAGTTCAGAGCCAACATGCTGTAGCCACACAACATTTTGCTAATATGCAACTTACACTTTTTAAGGAAATGTCTGGAAGAATTGTTCTCTGAAAGCTATTTAATCCAAGTTGATACTTTAAAGTAGGCTGAGAATTGCGGTATATAAGCGTAGTAAATAAATAAATAAATAAATAAATAAAGTTCATCAGGAGGCAATGCTTTATGTCCCTTATCTGTTAGCAGGCAAGCATCTCAAATATTTACAATTCATCATGTAAAGATTGAGCTAGTCTGTTGAAGAAAGTGTCTATTTTAGAAGAAACACAAAAAGAATAACTTACAGCTACATTTACTGAGAGAAGTCCTTGACCAGCATCTCTAGCATCAACAACGAAATCAGCAGGCATACTTGCTTGGACCCCATGGGCATTGAGGCCAGGCCCACTAGCAGTCACTTTACTGGCTTCATATGTAGGAAGCACCTTCACTTTGAATGGGCTGTTGAAAGAAGGACATTATTTCCAGCATCACAAATCATCTACATTTATCTTGGAGTTGTCATAATAGCAAATGGTGCAAAATGAGAAAACATGCAAGTCTAGCATACCTATCTACATTAATTATTAATTAGTCCTGTAGTCTTTAGACTGAACAGTAGCATAGTTACAAGTTGTTGTAGAACAGCCACCAGAGACTGAGGATTTAACTGATTTAGCTAATGATTTAGAGAGGATTGTGAGCTTTCCTGTGGCACAAAGTGATGGCCCCTCAAGTCTGCAAAATTATGGTTTTCTCTGTGAGACAAACAGCTCGGATAGTGTAGAGCGTCAAGGGCAGAAGGGGGGGGGGTATTAGAAGCAGCAGCAGCAAGGTAAAGAATCGAGTGAGAAGATGAGTGATAAGGAGGGTTCTCATGGAAACCCACCTGCAGCCACGGAGGTCAACAAAAGTCTTTGTTTACAAATCAGAGCCAAAAATAGACTGCGAAAGTCAGAGAGATTACATGGGAAAGTTGTGAAAAAGTTTCACAGGAAATGGAAATATTTCAGGCGTGTCTATTAAACTAAAATGATCAAGGGTCTGGAGAACAAGCCCTATGAGGAGCGGCTTAAGGAGCTGGGCATGTTTAGCCTGAAGAAGAGAAGGCTGAGAGGGGATATGATAGCCATGTATAAATATGTGAGAGGAAGCCACAGGGAGGAGGGAGCAAGCTTGTTTTCTGCTTCCCTGGAGACTAGGACGCGGAACAATGGCTTCATACAAGAGAGGAGATTCCATCTGAACATGAGGAAGAACTTCCTGACTGTGAGAGCCGTTCAGCAGTGGAACTCTCTGCCCCGGAGTGTGGTGGAGGCTCCTTTCTTTGGAAGCTTTTAAACAGAGGCTGGATGGCCATCTGTCAGGGGTGATTTGAAGCAATATTCCTGCTTCTTGGCAGGGGGTTGGACTGGATGGCCCATGAGGTCTCTTCCAACTCTTTGATTCTATGATTCTATGATAGTGGAAACCGTGACTCCTATTGAGGAATGGTTTAGGAAGCTGGTTATGTTAAACCTACAACTCCCAGAAATCCCAGCCACAGTTTACCAGCATGTTATGATTTCTGGGAGTTAAGGCCAAAAACATCTGGGGACCCCAGGTTGAGAACCACTGCTCTAGAACATGGCCATATAGCTCAAAAAAACCTACAACAACCCAGTGATTCCAGCCATGAAAGCCTTTGACAATTCAAACTACAAGTTGTTTACCTTAAGGTCAGTTCAGGCAATGCTGTGTTAGAGTGAAAAGCTAAGCCTGAGTTCTCTTGTTCGTGGTTCAAGTCAAGCTCTGATTCTGGATGTAATATATCCTGGAAGTTTTCCATGTTCTTGTTCATGTACTCCTGTTCAAGTTTTACTAGTTATACCTTCCTGTTTGTGGACTTATGCTGTATCTGTGATTCCTGGTTGTTCCTGGACTTTGTCACCTCTGGAACTTTATGAGATACCTGGGTTATTTTTTGGTTACCATCTTTAGCTAAACCTTTTTGGATTATAGATCTTCCTTTCTTCCTGATTTTTATATGCTTTTTATATGGTTTTTGCAATTAACTGTTTGCTTGTATTCCTGGACTCTTGTGTGGTGTGGTGGTCATAGGTGTTCCCAGGCCTGGAGTGCAACACTACTCAAAACTCTTACATGTAGAAGCTTGTCTGCAATATAAAGGTAGATCTTTCAAGAGACACCAGACAAATAAATGTGTGCCATTTTCTATTCCCCATGACAGTGCACATCACTTTGGATCTTCTATTTCCTACAACCACTGAGAGAAATGAAGCCCACGTGATGCAGGCTAAGTCTTCCAAGATAGAATTAGACAACAGTTAATATATGTATTGATGCAACCCATCCTAAATGTGGAAGCCATCCAATAGCTACGTTTCATTAAAATTGTTCCAAAATTAGGTTTGACCTTCTTCCTCTTACCTTCTAGGGATCTCTTCATCTGCATATTTTACTGCAATTGTATAAGGGCCCTCCTGCGTAGGCGTGTATGCTACTGTATGAGTGCCATCACCATTGTCAACTACGCTCACAGGTTCTGCCAGGCCTAAGGAAGGATGACAAATGAGACCACATTTTAATTCATTTAGCTGCCCTCTCACCAGGACTTTAGTTCTACATGAATTAACTTTCCACTTTGGAGCATGAGCACACAACACTGATTTAAAGCCCTGCAAGAAATCTGCACAAACATCTGCTCTGTGACCTGCTTAGATAACACCAATATATGCCTTATTCCTATCATTCCCAGTCTGTGACCTCACCAATTAGAAAAAAGTGAAATCACAGGCAGTCTCTTGGTTGGCTCAAGTCCAACAGCTGTAAGCTAAGAGCCTAGTATCAAAGACAGATTGGAAGAATTTATTGTTCCAAAATTAGACAGCTGGTTAAGTCAGTTATCAGGCATAGTTACCAAAAAGCTCACAGAAGCAGGAAACGAAACTTCTGTTTTCCACTATTACCCACTATCAGTGGTTAGGCACAACTTCCAATCCAAAATGGTGGCTTGTTAGTTTAGAACGGGCAGTGGATTTATTCAGCTTGCCACAAAGAAGTTTAAAGAACTGAATAAATCCAGCACTATCAGGCAAGAGTTGGGTTATCTGCCAATGCAAGACTGAAGCATTTTAATATCCCAGAAATCAAGATGCATGGATTGGTACATAAAGCATTTCCCAGAATTATTTGCACATGCATGAAGCTGTGATTAGACATCTCTGAAGTCACAATTTAGGTCATATTAGTGGGGGAAAGGAGTGAAAAAAGTAACAAAAAGGTTATCTCAATTGCAAGCTGGTAGCATAGCACTAAAGAAGAATTATTTAACTGAGCTAGTTTAGAGCAACAAAGCACAGTTATTGGGATTACAAGATTTTCTAAAAGACACAAGTAATTAGTGAAAGTTCAAACCTGTCTCATTAGATTCAACCCGTGGGTCACCTTTAAAGAACTCTGAAATGGCTTTCAGTGGACTGCGCCATGACTGGGAATCCGGCTCATCAGCTAGAATCAGAAAACTATTAACTTAATAATCCAAAACCAGAACTCCTGTCAGTTGTCCCTTGCAAAAGGGCTTAAACTGTATTACAGAACAAACAAAGCAGCTTCACATGCAATAACCATGCTAAATCCATTTGTCACAGTTTCATGGTATAATACAGGTGCAGATTAATTTGGAATACTACTACCTCCCTTTGGGTAACTTTTGTCAAAGGTACAGAGAATAAATAATTCTACATAAGAAGCTGAATTAGATCCAGCAGTCACAGGCCTGAAATAAATTTGCTCGGAGAAGTCTTCCCAACATGCATACTGGAAGTCTAGCTTTGAGTACTCACAGAAAGACTGCCGGATAGTTGTTTATTTGGCACAAGTATATACATTTGATTTCTGTACTTGACAATATAAGATTTTTAATTAGCAAGTGAATATGTTTTGGTATCTGACAGTAATAAAAAAAACCTCTATGGCCTTTTCTTTCCCTTGCAGTCATTCTGGTTGGTTCATAGAAATTCTTTCTTGGCCTTGCACCTTCACCTGTAATCCATCTTCCTCCAGTACTCACATCTGCCTTGTCCTCAGGCCTTTACCTCTATCCTTCCCCCCCCCCCCCCCCCCACCCTCAATAGGCATACTTCTCTTGTCCTCAGCTCTTCACTTCTATCTTTCTGCTTACTCTGCTCAAGGAACATAAATACTTCAAATGAAGCCAACTTGAGGAAAAAAATTAATACGATGCTGAAATACACCCAGGAATCCCCTGCTGCATGACACTAGGGCAGCTGACCGTGTCAGAGATTAGTCAACTCATCTTTCATCTGTGAATTCCAACACAACACACATTGATTTTGTTCTCCACTTCAGCTAGGAGATCATTCTAGGTGATGACTCATTCTGCCCACAGCTTCCCATATAAGATGCCCTGGAGTTATGGGCTTATGCAGCATGTGATCTGAAATTCTTCAGTTGGGCTCCAAAGTCAAATAGATATAACTAATGGAGAGGGAAGTACAGGGGTTGAACTCCTAGAACAACTTGTGTGTGTGACATGTTGTCCAACCAGTTTACTGTGTTTTGTTTTAGTGCTAGAGAGTCATTAAATAGTTACACACCAAACTCCTCCATTCCTAGTATTGAGACAAAGTGTTCTCATTCCAAGTCTGCTTGAATAGCAACTGAAGGGTTCCTAATCAGAACTTGTATGAGGAATGTGTTGATTACTAAATCTAGTACATTTCTGTAGTAGAGCATAGAAAAGCTATTTTTGAACTACCATTATCAGAAATCCCCTTACAGCATTCCCATCTGACATCATAGCTTTGGGGTGCTGGGGAGTAGGGGGACCCTTGTGGGGGAAGATTCTGAGAGTTATTAATTGAAAAATATATTTTTTTCTAAGATTTGCTGCAAAGTAATAGCTATGTTACCCAGAAGAATTCAGATCTCTGAATTCAAAATGCAGCAGCCAGATTAGTTACAGGAACATTCAGGAGTGAGCATATTGCCAGCACTCCACTGGCTGCCAATTAGTTTCTAGACAAAGTACAAGGTGTTGGGTTGTTGTAAGTTTTTTGGGCTGTATGGTCATGTTCTAGAAGCATTCTCTCCTGACATTTCGGCTGCAACTATGGCAGGCATCCTCAAAGGTGGATGCCTGCCATAGATGCAGGCGAAACATCAAGAGAGAATGCTTCTAGAGCACGGCCATACAGCCCAAAAAACCTTCAACAACCCAGTGATTCCAGCCATGAAAACCTTCAACAATACAAGGTGTTGATTTTTACTTTTAAAGCCCTACATGGTTTGGGACCAGGTTACCTACAGGATCGCCTTCTCCCATGCAATCCACCCCAAACACTTAGATCCTCTGTGAGGCATGTACTCCAACCAACCAGAACCCAACTGGTGACTGTCATCCAGAGGACATTTTCATTAGCCACCCCAAGACTGTGGAACGACCTACTAGAAGAGCTCCGACAGTTAAATTGGCTGTCAGAATTTAAAACACTTTTGAAAACTTATCTCTTCCGGCAGGCCTACCCAGGCAGTTTTAATCATGAATTTTAAACTTGTGTCTCACGTTTTCATCGCTGTTCACTGTATCTTAATATGCATTTTATAGAAATTTTTTAATATGTATCTTTTATAGATATACATTTTAATATGTGTGTTTATAGAATTTTTACAATGTTTGTTTGTTTTAACTATGCTGTAACCTGCCTTGAGCCATGAGAAGAGGAGGGGAATAATAATAATAATAATAATAATAATAATAATAATAATAATAATAATATTGTTATTACCTCAACTGTACACAACACTCCTCCTTTGAGTTCTATTATTTCACTATTTTTTTACTCAATGAGTCTTAATAGGAATTCTCATTCATATCTGTGGGTATGAATCCTTATTTAAAGATAGTACTGATTCTGAGCTCAAACAGTGAAACTTTACCTCTGGGAGCTGTGACAGCAACCTCAAGTGGTGCAATTCCAGCCTTACTGGTGTCCACAGTAAAGGCCTGGGGAATTTTGGCACGAACTGCTGTTCCCAGGCCTGGTCCCAAAACTTTCACTTTGTAGGGGTCAATGACATCTTTTACAGGAACCTTGAATGGACTTCCTGCCAACAAAGCAGAAGCAAGAGGTTATAGCCTTGCAAGGAGTTCACTAAAATAATAATAACCACAATGGGATCATCAAGGATAGCAGACACCGTCTCAGTAACAGAGCTCCCTTCTCACACTGCTATTTAAACCCAGCTCTAAACCTGTTTGAGATGCCCATTTTTAATTTGGCACTGTTCCTTAAGTTTAACAGGAATATTTTTGTATGTGCTGTTCTTATAGTACTGAACTCGAGCCTTTTGTAAGAAGGACAGAAGATCAGGGAAAAGAAAAATGCACAAACTATTTGAAAGCTCCTCAAACAAACAATATGTACAGGAATACAACTGTCTGAACAACTGTGAGAGATTAGAAAAATATTATTGTGCTGGAATTAAAACTTCACACATGCGCCAGGGACTAGAGCAGCTTAATGGAGCATAGGCTAATGACGATGAAGAAATCCCAGAAGCACGCAATCATTAAAAAAATAAACTGAGAAACAGGAATGTAAGGATGGGTGAACACCAAGACCAAGTATGATATACTAGTGAAGAGTGCTGGAGAGGGACTGGAGGAATGCAGGTTTTCCAGGACGCCATGAAACTCAGAGGTAGATCTTTAGCTAGTTACTCCCTCTCCACCTGATATAACTTACATGGTGGTTATGGGGAGAAAGAAAGCTCTACACATGGCCTTGAGCTCAGAGGTGGAAAAGCTGGATATAAATCTAAATAATGATTTTTTTAGAAAGAGGGAGGGGGAAGATAGCACAGGAAATCTCAAATGTTCTTGCAACGTCATGCTACTTCAACTTTTCTAAGTGCAGTGCATATTTAAGATACAATATTCATAATATGTGTTCAAAATTTTCTTCAGAAAGTCAGAAGCTCATCATCAGTCATGATCTTTCTAAAAAGAGTGAATTTTTAAATAAACTATTAATCGTATTGAAGGTATTTAAAACATACATTTAGAAATAATTTTTAAAGCATTTAAATAGTATGATTTAAAACACTATTATCATCAGTAAATAATGCAAATGCTCTTACCAGGGATATGTTCACCTCCATAGGTTATGTTGACATCATAGTCCCCTGGAACATATGGAATATATTCTGCACTACAGCTGCCATCTTTGTTATCTTTACAGCTTATCTTGGATTCTGAAGGCCCTTCAACAGTTATTCCAAGGCCACCAATTCCAGCCCCTCTGTGAAGACAACAAAAGTTTATATGCTTATGTTACTGTGTATCATTGTACTCTGAAGTCTATTATGCCATTTTATGACTGCAACTATTTCTGCTCAGATATGTGTCCCTGGTGGCACAGCACGTTAAACTGCTGAGTTGCTGAACTTGCTGACCGAAAGGTTAGCGGTTTGAATCTGGGGAACAAGGTGAGTTCCTGCTGTGAGCCCCAGCTTCTGCCAAACTAGCAGTTCAAAAACATGCCAATGTGAATAGCTCACTAGGTATTGCTTTGGCAGGAAGGTAATGGCGCTCCATGCAATCATGCTGGCTACATGACCTTGGAGGCATCTACGGACAATGCTGGCTCTTCAGCTTAGAAATGGAGATGAGCACCACCCCACAGAGTTGGACACAACTAGACTTAGTGTTAAGTAGAAACCTATGTGCACCTATAGTCACATCTTGCAGTTTTAAGCACCCAAGCACACGCTTTTCCCCAATTCGCCTCAGAGGTGATGCAAGTTTTCTTAGTGTATCTATCCATAATAAAACAGCTATGTCTTTGAATTCTACATTCATACCAAATTATGGTCTAATATGGCTTAATGTGAATATTTCACACAACAGCCTGTGATGCTTACCGAGTGATAACAGTGAATGGGTTGGGTTTATTTGTGAGGGCTTCCTGTAGCCCAGGTCCTCGGGCCTCGACACGTGAAGGATGACATCCCTCTGTGACATCAACTCTGAAAGGACTGTTTAACACGGGAACATCATCATATGTCACGTCAACAGTATGAGGGCCTGTAAGCAAAAGATCAAAACCTTAAACATTTGTGGGCTCTTTGAAGATTTACAACACAAAGATTACATGGCAGAGTATCCTCCTTGCCTCAAGTAATTGATTTCTTGGTAATCTGGGAAAATTAGCCTTACTTATAATGTAAATTAGGTGAAGCCAATGGTTGAAGTATTTTCAAGATAAAAGGTTCTGTTATGTGTTCCAGAGCACTTAAATCCTACAAGTATTTATACAGGTGAAATACAGAATGGTATTGCTTAGTGTGATTTACTTCTCTATCCCACTTCCTCAAGTCTATGGCAATTAGCCACATTTTACCTTTTTCATATGGAGTGAACTCTGCAGCATATGTCCCATCTGCGTTGTCTTTTATAAGGCAGTCTGTGGAAGCTCCAGAGGGATTTGTAATTTGTGCTTTGATATGATCTCCACCAGTTTTGGTCAAAGGACTAGCATCCACAGTGAAATCTGTTGTTGCTTCTCGGAAGACATCTGCAATGTAAGCAACATCTATTGAGAACCATTTCAGCTGAATAGAGCCACGCTTTCCACCAACATGTAAACACTTGTCTTCTCACAGATTAGTTCAATCCCCAACATGGTGCCAAAGACAACCAAATGGTTTACAATGTAAACATAACCCACCCACTGGTTCCTCCACCCAGGTTTCCCTTTCATCTTTACAGTTCCCTTCAGAACTGCTGATCAAGTAGCCATTGTTGAATTGCTTTCTTAGGCTATTATGAGCTGCTAGCCTACCCAGAAAAGTTAGTATTTATAGTATTGTGAGATTGCAAGCAGGGTGAACTGCCAAATCTTCATCTACTTCATATCTTTCATATACTATGAAATCTATTGACCAGGTCTTCTAAAATAAATTCACCTTTTAGTTTTAGAAAAATTTAAAGAAGGCTTACCTTTTCCTTCGATGCCTGGTCCATACACTTGGATTTTGCTTGTGTCCACAGCTGGATCAACCTTGACCCGTGCCGGAAAGTTTGGTACCGGTTCTCCACCATACTTCATTTTGAGTGTATGCATCCCAGCAGAAACAGGTACATATGTGACTGCATAGGTACCATCATTATTATCCTGAACGTCAACATCTGCTTTCGAACCAGAGTCTGACACAGCCTCCATATCCAGTTTCCCAGGCCCAGCTTCGGAACAGTCCACATTTAGCAATCCGGCCTCACCTACTTTACCATGTTCAAGTCCAGGACCAGTGGCAATTACTTTGGAAACATCAAATGGCATTTCAACATCTGCTTTGAAGGGAGAGCCAGGAATATGGACCTCTTCAAAAAGAATGTTGACAAGGTATTCACCTGGTTTTGTTGGCAAGTAAGAGACTGAGCATGTTCCATCACCATTATCAGAGCACTCTATTTTAGCTTCACACGGTCCTTCAACTGTCAGTCCCAGGCCACCGGTTCCAGCTCCTTTGGTGTCGATTGTGAATTCTGCAGGCTTTCCGACAAGACCACCCTCAAGACCAGGACCGTAGGCTCTCACCTGGACAGTTTAATTTTTAAAAATGAAGAATTTAATTACCCTGTAAATGCTTAGCAGGCAACCAAGAGTTCATAAACATCATAAATCAATCAATATGTTTTCTATGCTACTCAAAGGCCATGACAAAGAGATACAAAATATACAAAACGGAACCTTCAAGATAAAAGGTACAAAAGACACTAACCAATATTATTACCAAACCTATAAAAAACAATAGAAACCTTACAAGTTACAGGTAAATTTCCAACATGAAAATGAAACTAATAATTTGAGTTGCCATGGCATTTTTTTACAATTTTATTTAGTGTATTGTCGAAGGCTTTCATGGCCAGAATCACTGGGTTATTGTAGGTTTTTCAGGCTGTATGGCCATGTTCTAGAAGCATTCTCTCTGACGTTTTGTCTGCATCTCTGGCAAGCATCCTCACAACCTCTGAGGATGCTTGCCACAGATGCAGATGAAACGTCAGGAGAGAATGCTTCTAGAACATGGCCATACAGCCCGAAAACCTACAACAACCCAATTTTAGTTAGATCTCCCTTTCTTTTTTTTGCAGCCAAAGCAAAAGGGACCACTTTATGTGTTACACCATCAGTGGTATCACTAAAAAAAAAAAGCCCGAACCAATTCTACAAGAGAGTTCTCATTTCCATTTGTCAGCAATGACTTCAGAAATCTTTCTCTAGGGTCACTATCCTGGGGACAGTTTAGCACAGGGGTCCCCAAACTACAGCCGGTGAGCTGGATATGGCCTGTCAAGGTAATTTTCCCATCCCACTACAGTTTGCACACACACACCTTACTGCCCACTCATCTAAGCCATTCTCCCTTGCACAAAGCCTTTTCCCCTTGCTCAGAGCCTTTCCCCCTTCCACTCCACACTGCTCAGTGCCTTCCATGGTTTTTTTTTTTTTTTTTTGCACTACAAATAAAACATGTTCAGTGTACATAGGAATTTGTTCATGTTTTTTCAAACTATAGTCTGGTCTCCCTATAGACTGAGAGACCATGAACTTGCCCTCAGCCTAAAAAGTTTGGGGACCCCTGGTTTAGCATGTAATGTACAATGTCTTCCAACTCATATTAACTACAAATATACACTCTATTCTCTAACAAGCAACAGCTAGCATATAATTAGGGTTTGCAGTTGTAGCTAAAAAACTTCTGCAGAGTATCAGCTGTAGCCCAGAACATCTGAAATAGGTCACTTCTCTGCAGCCTAAAACTTCATGTGTGAAAAACACATGAATACCTGCCTATTTGAAGGCACATTAGTGCATGTCACCAAAGTTGCAAGTTCAACACGCTATCTGCTTTTTTAGGAGATATCAACACTATTGCATAATAGGCAGTCTAATCTGCATATTGCCATGCTTTTATCAACTTGATTCCCATTAGTCTAATTGATTTTGAAAGCAAGAGGGCTAAATAAACAAGGGAAACAAAAGCTGCAGCGATCAAAAAAAGATTTATTGTTAATTTATTTTAAAATTCCATCTTTTCTTCAACAGGAACTAGACAAAGGGGGGGGGGTAATCATGAAGGTGCAACACAGCATAAAAGTTTAGATTACGATAATATATTTCCAAGTGAGATTCAGCTGCAGACACAGCTGATACAGAACAATTATAATAGCAGATATGTTGTGGGGATTTATAACGAATCATGAAATCACAGAGCTGGAAGAGTCCTCGTGGGCCATCCAGTCCAGCCCAGGAAAATCACATTCACAGCTTTTAAACAGCCTCTGTTTAAAAGCCTCCAAAGAAGGAGCCTCCACCACATTCCAGGGCAGAGAGTTCCACTGCTGAACAGCTATCAGAGTCAGAAAGTTCTTCCTAATGTACAGGTGGAATCTCCTTCCCTGTAGTTTGAAGCCATTGTTCCGTGTCCTAGTCTCCAGGGCAGCAGAAAACAAGCCTGCTCCCTCCTCCCTATGACTTCCCTTCACATATTTATAAATGGCCCTCATCATGTCTCCTCTCAGCCTTCTCTTCTGTAGGCTAAACATACCCAGATCTTTAAGCCGCTCTTCATAGGGCTTGTTCTGCAGACCCTTGTTCATTTTAATGAAGTGGCTTTATAGTAAAATGTATACTTATTTCAAGTGCAGTTAAGACTAAAAAAGAGAATATTTCAAAGGGAACTTCAAGTTTCTTCTGAATAAAAAAAGGAAGCACCGAAAGAAGTTATTAACTCGGTCCACATTATATTTTGCGTAAAATTCTCCACTAGTACGACTCCAGAATTGGGCAGAATAGGTTGTGCAATTTCTGTTTCAGATACTTAAAGATCAAACTTGGAAACAGAATAATATACATAACATAATGCACATGACAAATATATCACATATGCTTGATCAATGAATACACCAAATCTTCACCCAGCCACATAAATTGGAACTTGCTAGATTTTTACTTACTTTGGTGGGATCAGGTGGCAGAGTGGCCTCCACTGTATAAGGGCTTCCTGGAACTGGATTCCCATCATAATTTACATCAACCACATGAAGCCCTTCTTCCTTTGGGATATACTTTGCTGTGCAACACTCTTTGCCTACCACTGGCTCCACTAAGCACGGCACAGCTTTCCTGGTAGGGCTGAAGATCGAGACATCCAGTTTGCCCTGTCCACCAGCTCCTTTTGTGTCAATCAGAAATTCTTGGTCCCTTCCTACTTCAACTCCTGTAGGAAATAAATAGAACACATTGAAAAGTCCGCCTTTCCACTGACTGCGTCACATTTAGAATTTGTCAAAACAATAGGGAGGGTCATGTCATTATTAGATGTGTTTAAATAACCACCTAGAAAAATACTCGTATTAAGTAATCCTGATATTTGTGTTCTAGCTCAATTTTTCAATGTACTAGTAATCTGCATAAAGGGAAACTTAGTGGAATAATTTATGTTTACTATACAGTATACTACTTAAATAGCCACAGAAAATAGGTTTCCCCTGACATTAAGTCAAGTCATGTCCAACTCTGGTGGGTAGTGCTCATCTCCATTTCAAAGTCGAAGAGCCGGTGTTGTCCATAGACACCTCCAAGGTCATGTGGCCAGCATGCCTGCATGGAGTGCCATTACCTTCCTGCAGAAGTGGTATCTATTGATCTACTCACATTTGCATGTTTTCAAAGTGCTAGGTTGGCAGAAGCTGGGCCTAACAGCAGGAGCTCACCTCGCTCCCTGGATTCGAACCACCAACCTTTTGGTCAGCAAGTTCAGCAGCTCAGTGGTTTAACCCACTGCACCACCAGGTGTCCCAGAAAATAAAATCCCCAAAGTAAAAATGACCTGAAAGAGATGCTTAGAATTGGCCATTCTTACACAATCCTGCCAGAAATATTACTTTTCTTTGATATTTGAACTCACTGGAGAAAAAAGGTAAGATGTAAAAATAACTAATAAAAAGTAAATAAATGAAATATTCAGTCAGATTCTGGAAAAGTGAAGCTAGTTCACTAAGTGATTCGCTACTGTTTAGACAATCTCAGCTCCAGTTAGTCATTGAGAGAGGGAGTTATGAATGAAATGAAACAGACCTCTAGTACAAACTCTAATAATCTGCATAAGCATTTCCCGATGTGGCATTCTGGATTTTGTCATGGCGATCAGGGGTTACAAACAAAACAGAAATAGACTTCTGTTCATAGAATAGCCTTTCTCATCCTCATTTGTTTACATTAATTGCACATCACTTCTCAAGATGAGCTCTTCTTGTGTTTCTCATAATATATTTAATTTACACATTTCATTACACTTCCAATCTCTAAACTTAGAAATGATAAATAAATGTCATGAAAACTCAGTCCTGAGAGACAAGTGTGTGTGAGACTGCAAAACCAAGGCGAACACACATCCGAGAGAGAGAGAGAGAGAGAGAGAGAGAGAGAGAGAGAGAAGGGCATTCTCTTACAGGATCCACCTGTAAGTTTCTAGCAAAAGTATTTAATATAGACGCACCTTCATCCAGGTATTTACACTGCTAACTTGGACCAAAGCTGATCTACAATTAAGCCAACAAGCTGCATTTTACTATCAGTACAATCAAGAAATCATACTCCAGTACACTTATCTGAAAAGCTGCTCCTTCCACAAATCTACTGGACAGAACGTTTTACTCAAAACCTGTGATGTTCACAAGTGCTAGAGAACAAACAACTTAGTTACAACTCTACATTCAAATGTTATGGGATGCTGTTTTCCTTTTTTGAACGTCTTGCAGCTAGTTCTCATTTCTAATCAATCTAACACTCCAATTAGAAAAGTTACTTACGATTTTCCAGACCATTAAGCTTAATTTTGCTCAGATCAAGTGGAGCAGCAACACCAACAGTGAAAGGACTTCTTGGGATGGAATCACCACCATAATTCACCAGAATATCCATGTTTCCCTAGAAAGGTTGGACAGGTTATTAATTTCATTCTACATTCCAATACTCAAGATATCCCAGCAATCACAGAATCCAGTTGTGAGCATTTAAATATTCCTTGAAAGCATTTTCCATAGATCAAACCAGATGGAAGCTACCCATATGTTTCAGATTGTGGTTCAGAACTGCACAAGTAAATTTGCTTATAAAGCCAGCTAAATGCTTGGAAGTAGACAACTCAAACTGGTAGAGGAAGCAGCTTTTCGATGTTCCACATTAAATGCTACTATGCTTTGGTAAGACACCCAGGTAATCTGCTGTGTGTGTTTTAAGTGAAAATCCAAGACCTTGACTTTGTCCAGATTGTGTTTTGAAATTCTTTAATTTAAATCAAACTTCAATAAAATCCACTGAACGCCTTGCTTTTTACCCATAGCACTGCAAAGCATAGGCTTCATTTATCTCATTTTCTGCCATCAAGGAAAATATTAAGACAGTTCTGAATAATAGCTGGATTTTTAGAAATTTAGAAATTTGTAGCTGTCTCCTAGTGCATAGCCTGTAGCCATGCACCTGGAACACCTGAGTCCATTTCAGTATCTGTTGGACTGTTGTGAGAGACTGGCTCCCTGAACTGAACATTGGGCTCTTTTTCTTTTCCAGTCCCTTCCCTCAAAGTTCATTTACTCTGTTTGATATCTAGCCTGATTCTCAATTCTGGAGATCTCTCCGCCTGTTTTTCTCTTCCTTTTTGGAAACAGATGGAGAATCCTCCCACCAAAAGCCCCTCCTCTGCTGTGATTGGCCGGTCTCTCAGCTGGCATCTCAGCCAAAGGAAGGGTTGTTTCTGAGACTCCACGGAGGCGAGGGGAGAACAGGTGTGCTTGGTGCATGGCAGTGTGGTGCGCATGTGTGGGGTGAGGGAGAGCATGCAAGGCTGGAGGGAGGATCACGCCAAAAAGTTCCTTCAAGGCATGGGGGTTCTGTGTTGGAAGTTTGGCCCAATTCTATTGTTGGTGGGGTTCAGAATGCTCTTTGATTGTAGGTGAACTATAAATCCCAGCAACTACAACTCCAAAATGACAAAATCAATCCTCCCCAACCCCACCAGTATTCAAATTTGGGCATATCGGGTATTTGTGTCAAATTTGGTGCAGTGAATGAAAAGACATCCTGCATATCAGATATTTACATTAGAATTCATGACAGTAGCAAAATTGCAATTATGAAGTAACAACAAAAATCATTTTATGGTTGGGAATCACCACAACATGAGGAACTGTATAAAGGGGCCACAGCACTAGGAAGGTTGAAAAACACTGCTTTATTTTTTTTTCCTATGGACTGTGATTAGTTTGAATAAATGGAAAATGGCTATAAAAAGGATACTAAGAAATTACGATTTTTCAGCTAAGCCACTTGGGCGAGGGCCAAAACATTATAACACGTTCACTCCCCATGACTAAGGTGCATATCGTGTTTCAGTTCTGAGACATAATCCCTTGGATAAGTGCCTGACTATGAAAGTTACATTTTCACAGGGCTGGAAGCAGTTTAATGTTTGATAGCTAGTATTTGTCACGGCCATATTTACAGAACTGACACAGCCAAGAACTACCTGCAATGTTTGCTTACTCCACCCCTTATTCAGTTTATCCTGCTCATTCTCCCCTCCCTTTGTCAGGTTAATTTCAAAAAAATACATCTGCTGATGTACATACAAGTGCACTCTTCAAACAAGGCAGCATTTCTGAACAGCAGCACCACCTACTATAAATTTCAGCCTGTGACAGGATGCTGGCAGAATGCCACTGCTCCGTTTCCTGAGTTTATCTGGGTTTCCCTTCTCTAAGCTGGGAGGCCAAGGACATGTACTCCATTCACACACAGAAACCTAGGGAAGTATTTGTACCATTTCACACTGGGAGGTGAGTGTCATTTTAATGCTCCCATTGTAGCAGAAATTTCCTGCATGCAGCATGTTAAAGTGTCAGGGAACAGGATAAGAACAGGGAAAGTTTTCTCTGCAAGTTGCATGTACTCCCGTCATCACTTTTTTTGTAATATTAAATTCCTCCAAAGCCCCAAATGACTTTTTTCCAGGCAAAGCTCATCCCTATTTAGCAAAAACCTTTCAAAGCAAGATTAAAATACAATGGTTTTCCTCTTTTTGTGTGCTTCACAATACCCAAAAGAAGGCTGAAAATACAGGAAACACAAACTGGAAGTGGACTTACAAGCACTTCTGGGTCATATTTGCAGGTGTAAATGCTCCTATTTGGCCTGCCTGAGGAAGATGTGAGGATGACAACAGGCCCCTGTTGCAAAATGGCCCTTGTTGCATATTACAGCTTTCTCCTAGGGGTGCTAGTCAGAGATATCACTTAGTAAACCAACCTTCCCCTGAAGTGGTGCAATCTACATTTTCACCCAATTCTATAGAATATATAAAATGGCCTGACTGTCATTAATGTATATCTTAGAATAGATTAGATTAGTACTTTAAGCTGGCCAGAAAGTTCACTGCCTTCCAAGAGACACATTTGACAAGAGTCAACCATGCTTTTGAAGACAGCCTCTCAAGCTCACCCCACTCTGAACCCTCAGGGGTTGCTGGAATACAGTACACAGCACTAACTGTTTCAGAAGCGTTTTTCCATTTACACCAGCCAGTATCCAGGAGTAGGAAGCCAAAGAGAAAGCTGGCATCAGAACTTCCTTTACTAAGATCCAACTAAAGCAAAGCCATCTGCAGAATATTGACATCCAAATGTTGCTGGGGCAGGCAAGGTACCAGATGAATAATACCAGCATGAAAATGCACAGGATTTGGGTGCAAGAAATATGCACCAACCATACAGTGCCTCAGCAGGAAAACCAAGGCCAGCACATCTATATTTACAATCTAATCCAGAGTGGCTTGCCTTATTATTATTTTATTTGCTGATCACTGAAAGGAGATATCCAAAGCCAATAACAACTTCACTCATCACAAACATGTAGCAATGAACACTCGTCCTTTAAACTTCCCAGAACAGCTACTGTTAGAAGCCGGAACATAAGACAAGGAATACAAAGCCGCTTTGGAAACTGATCATTATTTTTTTGTTTGTTTCAAATCAGGAAGTTTGCATATGCCAATAGTTTGTTCTCAAAAAAGTTGTCAACAAAGAAGGTATTAACATCCTTCAGAACTCTGAAACATGGTTTTGCCACAACTGCACTCTAGAAATTGCTAATGCTTTGTATTAGGTCCACATTGCTATAGGTTAACTGGACAATCCACTCTTAACACTTTAAAGGTGGGCCTACCTGCTGTATTGGAGTGTATCTCACAGTGTGAGAATAATCATAGTTGTCAATGATGTCAAGATCTTTGACAGCATCTCCTGCCATTGGTCCATTGAACTGGACATCAAGAGGGGCCTTCCCAGCACCTTTTGTGAAGACATTGAAGTGTGTAGGCTTCCCATTTTCCACACCTAAGTCAAGGAAGAAAAGAGTTAAGGGTCACCCTTAGATATATTATGAATGAATGAGTTCTGAAAGATCTTAAGTGAGGGATGGTAAAGCCAGGCAAACACCAAATGCAGAACCTCAAAAAATATTTCTTTGCATAACGATTCCCAGAATTACATGGGCAGCTTAATTGCTGATCACAATACCTGGGTGATTCTGCAAGTGGTATGTTTTTTCAAAGCCCAACTTCTGACCAAGTGTAACACTAATTCCCCTGATTTAGTTTTCTAGTATGCATTTACTTACATGTTCCTTTAAATGCAAATAAGGCATTCATTAATAGAAAGTTAAACAGTTTAATCTGGAAAGTGGCATTTTTTTTTGTATTTCCCCCTTTTTATTTGAGTTTAGTTGTATATAGGTTTTCTTTTCTTTCATAATTTGTATGTGGTAGTTTTAGCTAATTTTTGTAAGTTTCCTTTTGTGTTGTTTTAATGTTCATATAAAAATGTATGCGCACATGTGCATATACAGAGAGGGGGGGGGGGAGAGAGAGCTCCCATTTTGCATAGCAAATTAGCAAAAATCTTGCCTGTTTTGCTGAGACCAGGCCCTTCAGCTTTCACTTTGCTTGCATCATGTGAAGGTTCCACTTTCACTCTGAAAGGGCTAGTAGGGATTTCCTTAAAGACAGAAAGCAAGTTTTTAAATACAAGTAATAGTTTTCTGCAGTACTACTACAGATGAAAGAGCTCCACTGAAGCATTTCTCTTTCCCACATTCCTTGCATCTTCATTTTGCCTAACTTATTGAAAAGCCAAAATTATTATTATTATATTTATTATATTTATTTATACCCCAGTTTATCTCTCCCACAGGAGACTCAAAGTGGCTTAACATAAAAGCATCAGCATGCAATTAAAAATATACAAGAATGACAACATTAAAAGAGGGTCAAATATAAACAGTTTTTTAAAAAATCCAGTTAAAAACCATTAAAACATGTTCAATGTTAAAATATTGATTTCCTTCTAAACTAAAGCAATAAATACTAAATAAAAAATTTAGCAAGAGAAATGCCACTTTTTAAACATTTTGCATTACACCTTTAAAATTCTTTTTATTTTTGGGATATTAAAGAAAACCAGTTATTATACCAGTCCTCTACTAGAAGACAGCACTTGCTTCAGAAACTCAGTGTCCATTTTAATGCCAATTAAATCAAGCTTCACCTGAAACCTGTTTTAGTTTATATGTTTGATTGGATATTTCACAGACAAGAATTCCTGGGGGGGGGGGGGTTGTTTTGTTTTGCTTTGTTTTTAATTAGCTCCCAGACAATTAAGTGAATCTCTAAGTCAGGGAGGGCAAGTGTTCCTCCACATGTTATGGACACTAGCTACCAGTAGTATCCAAAGCCACTGGCGGTGTTGGCTAAGACTAATGTTAGCTGTCATCCAACTCCTGCTGGAGGGCTGGATTCTGCCCACCCCTCCTCTAATGAAGAAATAGGACTGTTTTTTAAAGCAGTGACAACAAAAATGTCTATTTCTAATTTCAGTGTCTAGAAGTAGTTTCTGTATGCCATGCAGTTGGTTCTTAATATTGTAAGATAAAATGAAATGTAGCTTGCAGCTTGGTCTTTAGGAACAAATCTTTGTATTTAATATGCAAACGGCATGAAAAGGAAAAATGTATTCAGTGTTCTCTGGCACTGTAGTCAAGAACTGATTCCAGAGAAGAACTGCTGGTGTTTCTTTTAGAAATTTAGCTCCAGGAAAGCTAAGAAGTCTTTTAAGAAAATGCTGCAGTCTAGTCTCATAGTCTGATGTAGGAAGCACAGTTGACTGTGAGAACTGGTGTCTCAAGCTTGGCATCATTTTCTACACTCTACTAAGATGATTTAACCTTTGTTTAGAGTTAACATTAATTATATGGGCCCTTGGTATTTTTATTGCTGCAAATATCACCAATTTCATGATATAAAAATTGGATGCACTTTATACTTCTTTTGTTGTTGTAGATCACTTTAAGCACTTTGAGAACAAAAAAATGGAAGGAAGGGAATAACGTTTATATGAACTAAAAAGTAATGCTAATGCATAAACAATTTACAGGCAACCAATATGGTGGCACCCTTAGCCTAAGTGTCTCAACAGCTCCGCCTCCCCAAAAAAACAACATACCTCTCCAGCAAAAAGCACTTTGACAGTGTAGCGTCCAGCTGCAGGAGGCGTATATTTCACTGTGAATGTATCATTAGCATTAGGTATGATGCCAAAGTCTATGTCTTGTTCTTCTTCATTTATGACATTAGCATCACATTTGATGCCAACGTTCACATCACCTTGAAAGAAAGCAAAAGGATTCATAAATCTACTTCACAACTGCTCTCTTACTACAAACTGCTTGAAGATTTGTGCACTTAAGATATGCAGTTGGCTTTGTCAATGAGTTGCCCACAAAAATCCAGTTTTCTGGAAGAATGCTTCCTTTGCAGTGCAGTGTTCCCTTTCAAAAGCAGTAAGATTTAATTTTTGTGACAGTAGAAACCCAACCTTGTTGCTCAGAAGGGAACATCAGTAAACAGGCCTGGTTTTACCTTCTCCTGCTTCTGTGCAGTCTACTGTGAAGTGAGTAGGCTCATTAGCTTTTAGTCCAGTTCTCTCCACTCCTGGTCCAATAACTTTCACCTTGTAGGGATGGCTGCCTTGGCCAATCTGGACCTAGGAGAGCACATGCATTTTTAAAATTAATGTGGAATACAATTCACTTTAAGATGCTGTTGAATTGTTTTACAATAATACCCCTTGATAACACAGTCCTTTGTTAATCTAAGGTCCCAGTTTCATTCTAAACTCTACTAAGATGATTTAACCTTTGTTTAGAGTTAACATTAACTATATAGCAGCACCCTTTGTGGATGTTGAGGTCCCATTATATACACTAGCATAGTAAAATGGTGTCCCTTATATAAAACGGCAAAATCAAAGTTTGGTTTTGGGAATTTATTTTAATATTTTGAAATCATGCATGGCTGAATCTGTGGGTAAAAGGGGTTGACTGTATAACCATCACGACATGCCAGTTAAATTATAAGTGTGAACATAAAGCTATTACAGAGGCAAGTTTGAACTGGAGAACAAGCCCAAAGACAGATATTGCAACTGCTTTAATACTTACTCTGTAAGGACTATTAGGCACGTTTGCTCCTCCCCAAGTAACAGCAACTGTGTGCTTGATTGGCTTTGTGGGAACATACGAGCAGGCATAGATGCCATCTGGCTTGCTCTTCATTTGGATATCAATAGGATTTCCATCCCCATCCTAAAAAGAAAAGGAGAACAAGGGTCTACTTGATGTACAAGATAATACCAGCAATTTTAGTGTAGTTAATAAATACTACTCGTTTATTACAGCCACCCAATAAATGGAATCTCATCGCTTTATCACAATCTTCCCTACATATATCTGACCACAATTTACATTTGAAGGGCAACATGTGAGGGAAGACCAGGCATCCTCAAACTGCAGCTCTTCAGGTATTTTGGCCTCCAACTCCCAGAAATTAAATGGTCAGGCATTCTGGGAGCTGGAGTCCCAAACAACTGCAGTTTGAAGATGCCTGGTGAGGACCCTTATCAAAATACAGTCACATTTTTCCAGATTGCCCTTCCCACTCCCTGCCCACAATTTTCTCTCCATATAGGTCCATGTATTACCAGCTGTCCTTTGGGAAAGATCCCAAAGGAGGAGATCAGGCAAGTACAAATAGCCGACGACTGCTCCCATTTCATCTGGACCCATTCACTTGATACTCCACCCGGCCATCTGCTCTTAACTACTATGGATGGATCTGGATGATACACTTTTTATTATCTAGGATTTTATTAATAAATGCCTTTGGTACTTTACAAGCTTCCTGGAAGGATCTGCATTTGGAACAATGAGTTAGAAATATCATACTATTTCAATTTATTGAATACAGAAACGTTTTAATGCAAAATTGGCTGAATTAAACAATCAATCCTAACAGCAATGGAAAAAAAGAAAAGGAAACTGGTTTATCTCCCTCTCTTCACCTCTCCAACGTGGTAAATATTTTTTCCTGTTAACAACCAGTTAAGATATTTTATCTCACTCACTCCCACTCAGAACCAATCCTCAGTTTACTGGAGTGTTGCTGGAAACATTTCCCCATCCCTTCCTCCCTTACCATCCAAGTAATGTGTAAACACGAGAGCTTTGTGGGCAATGCCAATAAGACAATTCCTCAACATGCAGGAAAAGGAAACAAATGCCAAACTTGGCTCTTTGGCCTTACTTGTGCATATATCTTCAGGGGAGCACTGCCACCTTCCTTTGTGTCAACTGTAAACTCTGCGGGATTGTTCACAATACAACCCGTTCTCTCCAACCCTGGGCCATAGGCTTTTACCTAGAAAAGAGTAGCAAAAATGTCAAGCATGGTAATACTCCTTTGTAGACTCTGGTATCTACAGAGGACACAATTCCTTTTCAAGATGTAGATACAATGTCTTTTTGGCTGGGATATATCTTACATGTCACAAAGTAGTTCTCTAATATTTTAGGGAACTTCCTTTAACACAAAGAAAAATTGATTCATGTATTTATAGCATACTCCAGATAACGAACTTCACCAGATACACACACTTCTCAGATTAACACAGGGTTTATTTGTATTTATTGTTGCCATGCCACTGAATGATGTAGTAACATGTAGGGGAATTAGTGCTTGGAGAAGTAAAACGAATTCCCTTATCATTAGGGCTAGGACTTTGAACATATCTACATATATCCACGTGATCACAACTTCTTTAGAAGGCTTTGGTATGAATAAAGTTTCCTAACAGAGGTAGTTCCTCATAATCTTGCCTTGTCGGAGTCCAAGTTTGGAGAAGCTGGTTGGATGGAAGCCATGTAGGGACTGTCTTTGATGTCTTCATCATCACACATGACGTGGATGGCATATTCACCAGGCTCCTTGGGCCAGTATTTCACATCACATGAGCCATCATTCTGATCATCGCATTCAATTTTTGCCTGAGACGGGCCTTCAATGGCAAAACCTAAGAAAGAAAGGAAGCCAACAATGGTGCTGTTAGAAGGTTTTTTTAAAAAAAACCTATACATGGTCAGCTATCTGCTCATAGTCATTTTTTCCTTGTGTATCTGTAATCCCAACAGCAAGCTTGAACGAACCCCTAATTGCACTAAGAATAACCCATGGCACAAATTGTAGGGATCCCACAACTGCAGCAACACTTCCTATCACTTTTGGCTGACATCCTTCGTTTTATGATTAGCAGTCAGGTGGATATCAGAGATCTGCAAGCAGGGCAAAAAGAAAATCCAACCAGTACTTGTCAGAGTGGACAATACTGAATTAAATGAAACAGTAGTCTGATTTAGTATAAAGTTGTTTCCTATGCCCCTTGCATTATAAGCAGTAAGCCCTATTTGGAAGGCGGCTCAAGCAGTTAGCAAAAAAGTCCATATAGAAAAAAAAAACATGACACATTGGCTACTATTATTTCTAAAATGGGTGAACTGCTGATATTGCCAGAAGTACTAGATAGAGAAGGCAAAAGAATTGAAAACAGGTTGCTGGGTACTGGCTTAAAAGTCACATTTGTAAGGGAATCCATGCTTTCTTCAGTTTCTAATGTGGACACTTTTTCCATGTGAAATCATGTAATCACGCCATAGCTATTCGGGGTAAATGCAGTGCAGTCAGCCAAGTCCTTACCAAGCGATCCAACTTCTGGACCAATGGATTCTACCACAAAGTCAGCAGATTTACCAACAACTCCTTCATGAAGACCTGGTCCCCAAGCTCTTACTTTTTGCGGGCCTGCTTCAGGACCTACTTGAACTTCAAAAGGGCTATGAGGAAAAACATCAGAAAACAAAATAAATAGAAATAAATGTGCAGACATGAGATTAACTATAGCTACAGAGGGAGAAGAATCTAAATGGCTGGCCCCAATCCTCAAAAGTAGTGATTGATCTACATTCAAGCAAAACATGGTCTTCCATTGCCCATGCTTCCTGAATTTCATCTCTTCCCAATCTCATTAAAGCAATCCACATCAAGTTGGAATTCAAGGAGCTGTTTATGAAATTCAAAACTGTAAAGAGCTTAGGACCTTGACAATTGAAGGTGCGGCTCTCTTTGATTCTGCCGAAGGGGCTCTCCTCTGGGAGACAAGATCACACCTTGTTTAGGAGTGGAAGTTAGAATACTGTTGCTAAGCCTCACTACACTGCCAGTTACCTGACGGTACCATGAATACACAAAGTTGAACACTATGATGAAATCACCTTTATCCAGACTAAATCCTCAAAAAAAACTTTACACAGACTAAATCTCACAGTTGAATTTTAGTGGCAACTTCTGTCATTTGACTTTGCTCTAAGCAACAGTGGCACTTTCTGTTGCCTCCAAAATTTCAGTAGGAATACATATCCACTGTAATAAAAAATTAAACTTTCTAACTCACCTTTTGGGGATGTTATGGCCTCCCCACAATATTGTCGCCATGTATTTTCCTGGAGTTACTGGGTAATATTCAAACGAATATACACCATCCATGAATTCCTTTTGTTTCACAAGTTCCTCTAAGCCCTCTGCAGAAAAACCATTGATTTAGCATTAGCCTCCTGCTATTAAAGTCTAATTTATCTGGTTTTGGGTTCTTTTGTGTCTTCTAATAATTAACAATCAATTGCCAAGAATGATGTCAGTTTTTTAAAAATCCAGAAATAGTTTGCAGTGAGAAACTACCTCTAGTCATTTAAGAAAGATAGCATAAACATTTCCATCAGAGAATGATGAGTGAGTGCATTGCATTACCATGCTTAATTCATTCTCCTATGTTATTCCTTAGTCTACAACGTTATGTATGTCATATGTTAAAACAAGGAAAGCTTATGCTTTGTCAGACCTCGTGACCACAAGTATTTGGAGAATGCCTATTTCATTTAGTTTTCTTGCGATAGTCTAAATATACTGAAGTTTGTTGATACTAGCCTATTGTCTTTAGCACACAGTTGGCAGCCTTTCCCAACCAATGTTCAAGCATCATCTTGTAAACATTACTTTACAAGGCATTTTTCCACATGCCCCCCACCCCCATGAGCCTTTCCAATTTGTAAGACATTGAGGCGGACTGTCAATTGTTTGACTTGAGGCCCAGAATACATCAAATCTACTTCAAAGTCCCATCTAATAGCTGAGCTGGAATATTATTGAAAACACAGATATATTAGTATTATTCTTCTAAAAAGCTACATGTTACTCATTACTAATAAGTGATATTCATTAGTAACATGCCACTTTGTATTTAAAATTTGAAACTATAAACATTCACTGAAATACTATCCCAAGTAATAATTTATTTTTAGTTGGTATGAGCAGTTACACTGTATCGCATAATGCTGCCTCCTCATTACTGTAAAAAGTAGCATCTTATAAGTAACAATATTTGAAACATGCTACTCCCAAGCTCTCTCTTAAAGAATTAAAAAGCTGTTCTGCTGTATGGATTAGCAATACAGCTATCACTTCCTATGCATTGTGACTCCTCATAAGTATAGATATGTTAAGCTGAAGTACAGAAAAACCAACCTGGAATTTCAACTTGAGTACATTCTTTCTATAAGAGTTTTACATCTAGGTTTTAAGGAATGTGCAAGGTAACAACATCCTGAATTTGCTAGGTTTCACTTATCTATTGGAGCCCCCAGTGGCGCAATGGGTTAAACCCTTCTGCCAGAAGGACTGGTGACCAAAAGGTTGATGGTTCAAATCCAGGAAGCGACTTGCAGTTTCCCAAGTCCTTCCTGATGTGAAAAAAAAACTTGATCTATTGAGTTCAGAGGGATGGAGAAGAATGATGGGCCAAAACTAACAAAATGAAGTTCAACAGGGACAAAGGAAAGATACTCCACTTAGGCAGAACAAATGAAATGCAAAGATACAGAATGGGGATGTCTGGCTCAAGAGCAGTACACGTGAAAAAGATCTTGGACAACAAGTTAAATATGAGCCAACAATGTGATGAGGCAGCTAAAAAAGCCAATGGGATTTTGGCTTGCATTAATAGGAGTATAGTGTCTAGATTCAGGGAAGTCATGCTATCCCTCTCCGCCTTGGTTAAACCACAACTGGAATACTGTGTCCAATTCTGGGCACCACAATTGAAGGGAGAGGTTGACAAGCGGGAATGGGTCCAGAGGAGGATGGCTAAAATGATCAAGGTTCTGGAGAACAAGCCCTATGAGGAGCAGCTTAAAGAGCTGGGCATATTTAGCCTTCAGAAGAGAAGACTGAGAGGAGACATGATGGCCATGTATAAATATGTGAGAGGAAGTCAGAGGGAGGAGGGAGCAAGCTTGTTTTGTGCTGCCATGGAGACTAGGACATGGAATAATGGCTTCAAACTACAGGAAAGGAGATTCCACCTGAACAGTAGGAAGAACTTCTTAACTGTGAGAGCTGTTGAGCAACTCTCTGCCCAGGAGTGAGGTGGAGGCTCCTTCTTTGGAGGCTTTTTAAACAGAGGCTGGATGACCATCTGTCGAAGGTGCTTAGAATGAGATCTTCCTGCTTCTTGGCAGGGGGTTGGACTGGATGGCCTCTTCCGGGCCATCCAGTCCAACCCATGAGGTCTCTTCCAACTCTATGATTCTATGAATGAATGCTCTGGAAGTCTGAAATGGTTCTACAATTGAAAAGTTACATTACATGCAGCAGATTTGACACTGAATGCCAGTTTCTCCATCACTTCCTAATTATCACATTTCGAAAAAGTCTTTGAGGTCACAAGTCATGGCAAAAGTAAAATCCTTCCAAGTAGTTTTGCTGTGGCCACACTAATGGCTAATTTATGGCAGCATTGCTTGTCCAATATACAGGGAATTCCAAATTTCGGACTAACTTTATCTCTTTCCTTTGATCTCCAGTATTAATAACAAAAGTAAGCTAAACCTTTCTGCTATGACTGACAATTCAAGGACCCAAAGTACTGTGAAAGGGACTTGGGATTCTGGCTGCCAGAATAGAAGTCCTGGCCCAAGTGAGAAGCTAAAGGGCATTTATCGAAAACTCACCCCAACCTATATAAAGATTGCTTAGTCTGGTCCCATGACACTGTAATGAAAGCTTAGCATATCACCAACCACAGATTTATATATATATATACACACACACATGCATGTATGAAGTTCAAGGCCACAAGATTTTCCCAACCCACCACAGGAGTTGCACAGCTCAAATTACTTTTACACAAACATGTAAAGCAGATACTATTACACTAAAAGAATTAGCCATTTTATACTTCCAGCCATGTTTATAGTTCTGCTCTTCTGCAATTAAATTAGATATGTGGGGAGGAAAAGGAGCTCCATTTCACCTCTGGACTTCCCCCCTGAGGGCAAAAGTCAATATACAGATAGTAGTACTACAGGTTGATTGATATACTTTTAAGCCCTTTGCAAACTTCAACCACACCCCAAAACCTAAGCAATGCTAAGGAGCTGAACACTTACTTGGCCCTCTTACTGCAACATGGATATCTCCACTCCCTGCGGCTTTAGTATCAACCTTGAAGTCTGCGGTTTCTCTGATCCGAACTCCTTTAGGTTGGAGGCCTCTGCCGCTGGCACGGCAGGCATTTGGATTGCAGGCTACAAGCAAATTGCAGACAGACATCAATGCAGTCTTTGATTCCTGGAGATATTTAACTCAACCAAGCTAGACAGAAACAGCTTCTCTCAGCTTGCTTTAAGATGGATGAGATTCTACTTTATGAAATGTAAAACCTGAATGTCATTCTGTAGCATTAAGGAGAAAGGTTGTGGCTGTCAAGGCACATTATATTCATATAAAAGTAAGGACTGCAGTTTGAGATTGAACTCCTATACTTCTTACAACCACATTCCATTAAAGTAGCATGAATGTCAACAAGGTTTCCAAACATCTGAGTTTTGCAGTTTGAAGATTATCAGTTTAATAATAGTAAAAGGTAATCGGGTATCTTAATTTCCAAAGCTCCAAACTTGGGGGGGGGGGGGGGTTAATTCTCCTGAAGGCATGTGTCTTACAGTATACATGCAAGTGAAACCACCTAATGTAAACCAGATTTTCAAAGTCCCAGGTTTCGCCTCAGCGAGGAAGGAGGAGGAGGGGAGGGGAGTATGAGCCAAAGCCCTCCAAACATTATATCCTAGAGTGACAGAGTACTGCTGATCCTGCTACTGTCTCCATATGCCTTGCAGAACACCAAGCAACCACCACATCCATGGAAATGCGGGAATGTGGAATGCTACATTAGCAAGCCAGATCTCCAAATAAAGGTCTGTGCAGATGTGCTTGAAATGAGCAAAACCATGAGGTGGAATATAAAAAGAGTGTGGGATGCTTTCTCACAACCCCCACCAAGAGAAAGGCATGCTTTGCTAAAAATCTGTATGATTAGGAAAGCATGCCACTATGTATGAAAATGAGAGATACAACAGATACAATGTGGGGCAGGCAACATATAGAATCAAAGTTTACATTAAAAACTAGGCCAACTACTACCTCTGGCTGTGACTTCTACTTTATTGCAGGGTAACGTTCATAAATCTCATTCCAGATTGGGACCCTAATGTGGAAATGGTAGGGAGCTTAATTTTTCTATTGCTTTGGTCTTCCAGGTTTTGGGGACTTCAACTCCCAGAAATCTCAGCCATCATACCAGCTGCTACGAATTGTAGGAGTTGAAGTCCAAAACACCTGGAAGACCAAAGGTTGAGAGTCATTACTTTAATGGATACTGATTCTACAGTTTAAAGACCTGGTGTGGTGGATCTGAGGTGGATCAAAACCAACATAAGGGGAAAGTCAAAGTTCCTATGCTCATGCTGGGGGTCCTCAAACAACTCTGGAGCAGAAGTTGGTCAGTTATTCTTAAAAATAACTAATACAATGACAGGATGCAGACATCCATAATTGAGTAGTAGTAGGATCTTTTAGGTCCCATAGTATTATCCTGCAATTGTTTCATTTTTGACAGCTTCAGCATATCTTTAAGTTCATCTATGGAAAGTAACATCCCAATTCCTTGGCTATAATAAAACAAAAGACTTGAAGTAGCTGGTAGCTACATCTTTTATATAACATTTGCTTTGGCTCAAAGAGTGAAACATTAGGGCATGTAAATGACCACTTAGAAGAACTTAAGCTGTGAGCCTGCACATCAAGATTTAACTAGCCATAATACTGAGGTGTAATTGCCATGCACCCTTACAGCCTCTTGGACGGAAAGTGGGGGCTCCAATCAGATCAATCCATGCATGTCTTTCTTGAGTTGGAAATTACCTCCTTAGAGAGAAAGACAGTTGGCCATGTGACAACTATCCTATTCTAAGAACTGAGATTACTCTTCTTATCCAGCCAGTCTGTATTTACCAGTTGTTCTATGCTCACCTGCTCACTCAGACAAAACGGGGATACTTCAGCAAGCTGAAGTTCAAACTCAAGTATCTCGCAATGAAGTTTGACAGTTTGTGGTTAAGCATTTTGACTTCTTGCAAGACAGTTTGCAGTAACCAATAAGCCCAGCAAACTGCTTGCAACATGTTTGTACAAGCCCATAGCTTTTACTTCAAGCTGAAGGCTAAGTGTTCAGTAATTGCACCCTGGCCCATACACACACACACAGACACACCCTGCATACCCTCTTACCGACAGAGCTTGCCCAACTATGAAGCCAATAGCAGTGCAGTCCAATATCCCACAAATTGAGGAGAGCTCAGGAGAGGTGAGCAGAAGTCTGAAAGCACAGGAGCAGGCACGGATGGAATAGAAAAGCCAAGTATCAGTTCAGAAAAAGAAGAAAAAAGTTGTGACACAAAGCAAAGTGAATATAGTAGGTTTAAGAGATATAGCAAGGAAGAGCTTGCGTCTAGAAGTGTCAAAAAGAGCACTATAGCCATTTAGGATGGCAAACTAAACCCAGTTGGTTAAGCAAGAAGACAACAACACTTAGAAGCACTTTTTCTGGAAGGACTACCAAGCAAGAATAATTAACCTGTTTGCATGTCACTTGGAAGACTAATTCACATTTTTAAAAGCAAATAATAGAATAAGAAATTTACTTAAACTCTGTAAAAGAGCAAGGAGATATACATCTGCTCTTAATGCATACCTTCACCAACAACAATTCCCCAAGGGCTTTTTGGAACTTCTTCTCCAGCAAACGTCACTCTAATAGTGTGAGGGCCAGCTTGAAGAGGCTTGTACACACAGCGGTGCACCTGATTCCCTTTGTCTTCTAGCATAACTTCAGCAATGTTCTTCCCTTGAGGGTCTTCAACATCTATGTCTATATCACCAACACCCGCTCCTACAAAATAGTAAACATAAGCTTAACAGTCAGTTATCACAATTAGCATTTTCTTCTCGCTTTGACCCAGGGCCATAAACAAATAACAATACAGTACTTGGTATCCTGCCTAAATAACCTAAAGGCACCAGATTCAGTCTGATTTTATATACTAGGCAGGATCAGCCCTGGTTAATACTTGGATGGAATGGGAGAATGCAAACAAATATCAGGGACTATAGGCTATATTTCAGAGGAAATAACCAGAAAAGCGACTTCTGAATATTCCTTGTCTAGGACACGTAATGAAATTAATAGGATCACTACAAATGAGCAGGTGATTTGAGGACACGGACACACAAAAAGAAATTGGGATTTCCAGCATGAGACTGATGTGTAACTGCAGTCTTTGCGTAAAAGGCAGCTCTTTAGTGTTCTCTCTCACACACATACACACCAGTGTATCTGATTGAGGGCTGTAAAACAGAGGGCTGTAAAACAGAGTTTCTGGCTTGATAAGCAGAGTTGCACAACACCAAATGCACATCTGAGTTTTGGGCCACCAAATGGATTCTCCTGACAGTCAGCAAGGGCTTCAACATTTAAAAAAACAAACAAAAAAACACTCCTTCATACCAACTTTTATCAGTTTTTCTATCCAAAGTGTTGGAACAAAACTTGCTTCTCCTGTTCGTAAATTCTTTGTTATATTAAGCAAACAAAATAGGTGATTGTTTCTATGTAAAACTAAACTGCAATAAATACTTGTACATCTAGTATTCCAGCCTAGTTCACGAGATCATCTACCAGACTCTTTGTCCAGCTACTTTCCCAGCATTTCAGGTAGCCCTTTTCTTTCTGTTTCTACTCTGTATTTCTTTTCTTGATTCCCTTTGTGGACTTTTGATGTACCTTTTTAAACTTTTTAAAAATAAAGTTAAAAGATGGTGGAGGAGCGGAGGAGGAGAAAAGGCCATCACATATAGTGATGTCATTCATATAAGTTGTATATGTTGGATCCATGCTGAGCAAGCAAACTAGTTTTAAAGTTGCTGAAAGACAACTGATGTGTCTGCAGCTGTAGCCACTGCTAAGGTGTGCTTTAAGAACCTCTGGCATACATAGCATACACTGTGCAAGAGGCATGTTCCACACCTTTCCACTTATTTCTCCCTGCATTCCCAAGAACAATGACAAAAAGTGTTAGGCTTAAGAGAACAGTTGCACCACAAACGTATACTTTCTAGAGAAGTAACACACAGGGCAGTACTTAAAAACTGTGCCAACTTTCTTTCCAAATTGAAACCAGAGCATCAACCACCATCATTTGGCAAAATAAGTACAAATTCAGTCAATATCTGCCTTTTACTGTTGGAATCATTAGTGCTGTATTCAGACTTCTTCACTGAACACTAAGTATTGGAAAACCTAGGTGTCTGAATGAGATAAAGTACATCTCCCATAGCCAAAATAAAAGTGCCAAAAAGTAGCACTGTGGCAGTAAGTTGATAATCTCAAGTATCCAAAAAAAATTAATTGGCAATCAATTATCAAGCTTATCAAGTACATTTTTCACACCTTCAGGTGTACTCTGAGTAAAGATCATTTAAGACATCTTCAGGGGAGATCTTTAGAAACAAATTCTGACCCTTGCAATGAGGAAAACCAAGTTGGTGCAGCAATTCAGCTGACAGATTGCACAGTGAAAAATGTGTACCAATCTTACTTAGCACATCTTACCTGCTGTATAAATGTCAAAATAAGTAGGTTTATTGGCTATATTTCCTGTTACTTCCAAGCCTGGCCCTTTGGCTGTTACTTTGCTGGCATCTCCCTGTGCTTTGTCAACATTGACTTCAAACGGGCTCTTTGAAATATGCTGGCCAGCAAACAGGACTGTAACCTAGAAATATAGTTAATAGCATTCACATAAGATATCCACGATCAAAACTGACTGGCACTTTTCATTTGCCTTTTCACATAACTGAAGGAATTATGACTTTGTAAACTGGCATTCAGCTGCTAATGAAAACACTTAAAATTTAAAGATTCAGGTGTTTTAGGCATATATGGAATGTGGTGTATGGGCCACCACAAGTAGATAAATCACACTGGTTTCAGAAATCCTGTTTATTCCAGTCTACCTAAATGCATGAATTGCCAGCACTGCCTTCCACCAACACATCACGACTTGTTAGGAACTGCATGAGTTGTTGGCTGCTCCTCAGCAGCAAAGCCTCTGTCTCAAAACTGAAATGGGAGGAGAAAAGAGTCGGTCTTCACTGTGTTTTTAAAGTTCTAAATGTAACCACTGGGTACTGAAATAATGAAACAACTCAGCAATATTTTGGGTACTTTAAGAAATGTAAGGATGCATCATATGTGAAGGTTATTGCCTTTACCAAAGAAGTGCTATCTGAAACATACATGAAGAGATGTATCAAATGGTGCCTTACCATGTCCTTAAGGGTTCCAAATGCTACCAGGAAAAAATCCTTAATTTTTACTAGGAAAATACAGTTTTAAATTGTGGAAAATGACTTTTGGTAGGTTAAATTTTATGGGGCAGAGTCTTAATAGATGCAAACACTTCCTATCTGGTTTGGGATGAACCAGTTAGAAACTCAAATTTAAGATGCATACCTTTCTCAGCAAAAAGGAGTCAAAAGAGTGCAAATATATATAGACACATTAGCCATTTCTTTCCTGAGGAAGCCACTAGACTTTGCCTCTTTTGCATGTTTTTAAATATAAATAATAAATAAATAAACTTTATATCCCGCCACCATCTCCCAAAAGGAACTCGGGGCGGCTTACAAGACAGTAAGCTGTAGCATATAGCATAAACAATACAGGAGTTTAAAACAATATCACATAAAAATGATAAAACAAGCAGTATCGATACATAAAATAAAATAACACAATTTAAAATGCAGAATCATCTGTAGTAAAACTAGCTGCCATCAATTCAAACTAAAGTGCCAGAGTGTCAACTTCATGTAGGCCCATTTCAGCCTACTCGAGGCCAAAAGCCTGCTTAAAAATCCATGTTTTTAGGTTGAACAAATAGTAGATAGACGAACCAGCTTTTTGACATGGCCAACTCCTACCATTATAGAAGTGGGGGAAGCTGTTGCTTCTAAGTATGGTTACTATACTAACTAGATCCAAGATAATTGTAACATTGTCCTGAATAAGGGTCATGATTTAAACTCAAGCATCCCTCCCTCCAAACCCTGAATTTTCTCACCTTGTGTGGTCCTGTAACCTTTGGCACATATTGAACAGCATAGGTCTTGTTCTTGTCATTTTCTGGAGACACCATGGCCTGAGAAAGAGCAAGACAACAGGACATCTTTCCAATCGGCATCTCTCAATAGCTTAGTCAGCTTTACATTTGAAATGGTATGTTTTGAAAAGAATGCTTATCTGCAGCAGAATATGCTTGTCAAACCTAGTCCTTCTTCTTGTCAACCATTCACTGTCTCAGGTCTCTCAGGGACAATGCAAGGCCCTTATTTCTACCAGGACATTACAATATGTGCCTAAGAATTTACTTAATTAAATGCATCTGTGTGGCTGTTTTTATGTTATAACTTTTTCTGTTTCTACCTTTATCTGTTTTTAATCTTGAGAGCAGCCTTACATCTCAGCTCTGGATGAAAGGATGGACATGAATTAAAAATTAAAAATCCAAGAACAAATGACTTGTGAGGACACCAATTTTCTATCTCCATCACTCACACTTCAGGTTCCTTCCAATGTTACTTTAGCAAACTGAGAAACATTTGAGTTCACATCCTCTCTGCATAGTTCTGGAAACATACAAAGTCATGAAGAAAGAGTAATCAAGGATAGCCCCTTCCCATGCAAGCATCATCCTTTCTGGAAGCCAGACTATTGTGGCTGGGAAAGAGCACACGGGGGCCTTTCCCCAATGAACCTGAAAGCTTCTGATGTCTTTCACAAGTCTAGTACAGGCATATGCTGTGGAAACTGCTTTTGTGTCATTAAAGTTGTGGGCAACTTCCATGCATTCAGGAGATCAATGAACCCAAACTGAAGCTTGCCAGGGAAACACTCTCTTGGTTCCAAAACCAGCTGGCAGATGTAAAGAAACACCCACTTCCAGGTTAAAACAAGATTTACAGATAATATGTCCCTGTTTAAAGGAGAACTATGCTTCCTGGGGTATTTTATAAAACAACAACAACAACATAACTTTATTTTTGTATCCCACCACCATCTCCCTGGGGAGACTCAGGGTGGCTTACATGGGGACCAAGCCCATGTGTAGGATTTTATCAGTGGTTCGGGAACCTCAACAGGCTGGCTATCCCTTCAATTATGGCCAAATCAGTTAATTTGCTCTTCATTTCACAGAACTGTTTAGGAGCATCATATTATCAAGGACTCACCACAATAAGACCAACCTGGTGAAAAGATCTCTGTCTAGTCTACTACTGTCCGCTCTGATAGACAGCAGCTCAAGAAGAGGTCTCCTCCCCTGAAACATCTACAATCAAATCCTGGTAAGTGACAAGGCCAGAATTTGAACCTGCTGCTTTCCATAGATACCTTGCTACAGAACTATCACCCAAGCTCTTAAAATCCCTTCACGCATCCAAGAAATGCAAGAGAACAGGCCATCAACCAAGTTCTCATCTTCCCCAATACTTCTTGATATGCACACCTCTTCTCTGTTGCCTTCTGGGTCTTCTATAAAAACCATGACTTCACCCTGGCCAGCGCTGATCGTGTCTACAGTAAATTTGGCAGGCTGCTTCACCATATTTCCATGTGGTTCAATTCCTGCAAAGACATAAATGCAATTGTCAGGTGGTACCAGAAAACCTTTGCATATTAAAACTTCAGTGAGAAGCAGCATTTCCAAGACTGAACAGCAGCAAATTTTTAGAACTACCCCTGCTGTTAAAAAGTAGGCTTGGGACAGAAATTCTCATGGCAAGACCTCAGTACTTTCCGGATTATGAAACACTGAAAGTAAAGATGGAGGCTGCATTTTTCAGCCATTACAGCTAAAAGTCACTGGCACACAGATTCACTGAGAACTGGCTTAAGCTTTCTTAAAATAATCTAAGCTAGCAGGCTAGCAACTCTTGTTCAGTTGTGAAAACTTTTAGTGACATCCTTTAGTCCCGAACCTATTATTCCCAGCTCTCATATTCTGAGATATTCTTCTCCCCTGTGTATATCACCTCCCTTTTCTCCACTTGCCATCCATAAGAACCAAAGTGACCTCAAATGCCCTATATCAGATGTGGGAATCATGGTGCTTTCCAGGCATTGTTAGAATCAAGTCTGAGCAGAACTAAAACCACCACAACCAATGCTAGGAATATCAGGGGTTTCAGAGAACAAAAAATATCTGCATGAGTGTCACTTCTATCCTAAATGAATTATACAATAGTAAAACTAGAGATAATAATAAATGCTGAAAATACCATGTCAACACAACTGGAGGAATGATGGCATTTTTCCTTAGGAATATATATGGATCTTAAATTTTCCATTTTTCAAGGCTAACCTAAGCCTCAAGTAAAACTACTTGTGTTCCTCCACTGAGACTTACACTGATATACAACTGTGCAATTTTATAAACACTAATTATCTTCAGAAGCAAGCATATTAATAGCAATGAAATGCGTAAAAACAAAGTTACTAGGAAACAATCCCCTACAATCTCATCTGCTACCAAACTAGCAAGAGCCATGCTGAAAACTGTTTGCTCAGAAAGCTCTGAAACATTTAAAATGGGGAAGGCAAGAATGCAGTACTCCACACACTACTGTACTGCAGCTCTTAGCATTCTTCAACTTAGGAAATTCTGTTTAAAAACTGCTGGAATTGACAATCTAACAACATCTGGAGAATACGATAATCCTTACAAATTTTCCAACAGTGAGACAAAAGGCAAACTTGCTTCAATTGTTTACTAATCAACTACTCCCATATTTCCATCCATTCATCAAAGCTTCCTACAAATGTATTATTTCAAAAAGGAGACATGGTAGCGCAATTGGTGAAACCCTTGTGCCAGCTGAACTGCTGACCCAAAGGTCGGCAGTTCAAATTCACAATATGGGATGAGCTCCCATCTGTCAGCTCCAGCTTCTCATGCGGGGACATGAGAGAAGCCTTTCACAGGACGGTAACACATCCCTAGGCAATGTCTCTGAAGGGACGTGCAGTTTCTCAAGTTGCTTCTGACATGATAAAAAAAATCAAACGTAAACACTTTCACATTTTCCTGTTTCTGCAACTCTAAGTCCACTTTCTCTAAGCAGTCATGTCTCCACTGACAGTGCTGATTTAAGTTCAAATGATAAAAAGATGTACACGGGCATAGATAATGCGACAACTCAGGAATATGGTGAAAGGAAATCTGAAAGACACAAGGTACAAACCTTGCCAAACTGGTTCTCAAAGATTTGGGAAATACGTGTGAATATAGGAGTGGCTCTTGGACTAGTTCCACATTTCTGAATCTCACCATTGCAACAATTGAGTACAATGGAACTTGAAAATCTCCCTACAAATTGGATTTAAATAAAGCAAGATGATGGTTGTGAATCCACGACATACGAGTGTGGAGAAGAGCAAACTACAGACCACCTACTACAATGTAACCTGAGCCCTGCTACATGCACAATGGAGGACCTTCTTATAGCAACACTAGAGGCACTACGAGTGGCCAGCTACTGGTCAAAGGACATTTAATCAACTACCAAGTTTGCAAACTTTGTGTTTTGTTTGTTTGTTTTTTAATGCAATACAACTGTTTGGTTCACTCCTGACACGATAAATAAATAAATGGTTGTGAATACTCATGAAAAACAAAGCCTTACCTCTGCCATATGCTCTTGCCTTCTTTGGATTAAGTTTAGGTTTCAGAGGAGCACCTGGTTTCAGCTTGGCTTTGGGGAACTGTGACAAGTACGTCATGACAGAATGCTCATCCACATTAGGATGTATGATTTCTTCTGGAGTGATGACCTGGGGAACAATTACAGGCATGCTCAGCAGGATAAGAGTTCACTTTGTACATTTCTACCTCTATTAATTATTTCCTCCTTCATTCAGGAATTAAGAAAGTGCAGCCTGCTGATCACAAGTCATTTCCAAAACCAAACCCTCTTTTTTGTGCATAATCCCTAAACCTCCCAACCCTCCCAATTTGTATCACTCAACAGTTTAAAGTATAACTGTTTCTGTAACTTGGGAAATATGACCAAAAGAAAGCCTTCTTAAGAATAATCAAGTTTTTAAAGATTACACTGTGTTGTATGCATACATATTTTAGCCAACAGCTAGAGATATTTGACAAAAGAAATCATTATTTGTAATCAAGAAAAGAAATTTTAAAAGCTAATTTGCCACCTAGGTCTGACAAGTTCACTCCTTGAAGAACTCAACAGAAGCTGGTCTCATAGAGCAAATGCGACTTCCTCAAAAAGTTTAGACCAAGGGTGTCAAACTCATTTTCCCCAAGGGCCACATCTGCTTTATGGGTGCCTTCCAAAGGGCTGTTTGTAATTATAAGACTGTATAAATGTAACCACATTGCCCTGGCATTGAAAGCCTCGTATTGAAAATAACATGGCGGCCTGGATTCGGCCCATGGTCCTTGCATTTGATGCATGTGGTTTAGGTCCACAATCCCTTGGGCAGATTACTGTTTGATCCAGGCAATTTCTTGGCCCTGTCTTTATAAAACTCAATAAGGACCACAGCAATAAAGACCCTCTCTCTCATCCTTCTATAGTGCAATGCATTGGTGGGGGACAGAGAAGACCCTCTCCAGCAAACTACAATTCTTGGCCAGTCATACGAAGGAAAAAGCAATATTTTAAGGAAAATGGTCAGAATTCAATTAAGACTTCATGTACCATCAGTAATACTTCAAATTCAAGCCATCGGAATTCTAACACCTCTAAAATTGCTGCAATACAGTTTATATAGGATGTTTCAGCCAATGATGTAGCCGCTTCCATTTTTGTGACCGATGGGAGTTTCTGGGGTAATTCCACACTAAATGCAATGGAGTAGTTTGAATGGGAGGTAACCAATGCAAGAACTATGGACAGGCCATCCTGCTCCACAAAAAAAATTCCAAACCAGTTAAGGCTGGTTCCAGGCACTACAAGCCTAGGGATCTTTAAACTTAGAGTAACAAATGGAATACTAAGACAAATATAAAGCAACATCCGGTTTTGATATTGAGAAAATCAGTAACTTAACTGAAGCTGATAGCAAGCTTGAGCTTGTCAGAGAGGTTAAAAATAATAATAGGCAGGGTCTGGCTATATTCAAAGGAAAAGGAACAAGGAAAAGGCAGGGTCAATATAGAGAGAAGATGATGAACTGCTTAACATGTATTTTGCTTCAATCTTCTCCCAAAGAGAAAAGCGTGCTCCATCTGGAGCACATGGAATAAATGATGCAGAAAAGGGGCTGCAGCCCAGAATACAAAAAGGTAGTAATACCTCTCTGTATATTCTGGGCTGCAGTCCCTTTATTGCATCATGTATTACTGCATCTTCCCTTTGCTCTTAATGAGTTCAAGTCTCCAGGGCCAGAGGAACTGCATCCAAAATTACTAAAGGAACTTGCAGCTGTAATCTCAGAACCAACAGCAAGGAAGTGACTTTGAAACTCACAATCAATTTGAATTTTCCATAAAAGCCAGAGCATCTACCACAGAAAGGAGGCAGAAACTGCCAGATGCGAGATGGCTAAAAGTGACCATTCTGTTTATTTCCTGCCACTGATGTATAGAGAAACACCAGTCCATATCCTACCTGAGGTACACCCAGCCAGTCATCTGCTTGCTGCATGGCTTCACGGGCATTGTCGACCGGCTTCTTAGGGTCCCAGGTTTCCCAATCAGGGCAAAGACCTAGGAAAGGGCATTACAAAGAATAAGACTTTAGGATTTACAGGTGCCAATGTAATCAAAAGGCTACATACATGGAAGTAAGTTAACACTAATTTCATAGTGATCTACACTTGCACTGCATAAAAGTAAAGAACAGAAATCAAGAGACAATGTTTTCAGAGGAAGTATTAATCTGAAATGCATATCCAACAGTTCAGAAAGTACGCCAAGACCACACATTTGATGCTGTTAATCTAACACAGAACATGATTTTTTCTTTAAAAACTCTAAAATTTTAGACGGTATCAACAAAGGTTTTAGAACAAAAATGAGAAACTGGAAAGAATTTGGAGGCCAAAATGTAGAAAAAACACCCTCATTTCTGCAGAGGATAGCAAACTAAATATTTAAAAATATTTTTCGTGTAAAAATGTCATGGACTATCATGACCTGCATACCACACCTTTCTCACTTCTGATTTAGAAGGACGAGGCAAAACTGAAAACGAGACATGTGTGAGGCATCCACATGTTGGACTGCAACTCTCATGAGCCCTAGGCATTACAGACAGCCATGAAGGTTTACAGAAGTTGCAGTGCAACAACATATGGGGTATATTTTCTATCCATGCTCTATATAAGACTACTGACAACAGCAAAAAAGTAACTTTGAAATATTTTCCTAATCTGCTTGTGAGCTGTGTGCAACAGCAATACTGTTACAGCATTAACAGCCACTGAAGTGATACAACCATTCTCTTGGAAGAGTGTTACATTTCCCAATACAAATTTCAAAGATTTTGCAGAAATACGTCTTAGAATGAATGCAATATTTCCTGGTGTTAAATAGTTGCTTAATGACTTATTGAGCATTTAAGAACCATTATTTATTCACAAAGAACTGTATATAGTAACCTACAGGCTCTCTAATAATTTTTAAACTTTGTGAATTATCAGAGGATGTTCACTGTAAGTTCCTAACCTTTAGACATTTTTCTTAGATTTTATACCTATAGCTTCTATGTCAGGGCAGGATATCTTATGGCAAAGGAATTTCATTTACATTAAAGCTGATAAGGAAGAAAAGAGGGAGAGGTCACAAGAAGCTTACCAGGAGCACAGCTATCAACAAGGGCACCCAGCGCTTTGCCATCTTGCCAGTTTTGGTTAAAGTTTGTAATTGGCAAATACGGGATTTTGTTCTGAATCCATCCCAAGAGTCTCTGTTTTGGAGTCTGTTTCTTGGCATCATCATCTCCTTCATCTTCCCAAACGGGCATAGAGATTGAATAATGGAGGATAAGGGTCCATACCAACCCTAGGATTAGTTTCAAGTTCCCATCAACAATAGCTTTACTGTCTGAAAACAAAAGAAAAAAGTTACTATTCACATTGCCCTCAGGAATCAAGTTTATCAGGTGGAAAGATGAAATGTTCAACTGCAATTCCATTTGGAGAATTTTGCTATATTGAATAAATAATAATAATAATAATAATAATAATAATAATAATAATAATAATAGTTTATTTTTAACCCACCCTCTCTCTCTAAAGGTACTCGGGGCAGCCTACAAACATAAAACTGGCAAACATTCAACACTGAACCATCTATTGAACCTATGTGTGTCTCTATGCAGGAATAAAACACTGCAGCCAGATCTAGGCCACATACTAATACATATTAGGCAGATGTTATGTGAAAGGTTATGTGGGCGAATTCCTGTGCCCAGCATGCCCTCAAAGGTATTTTTGGTGCCAATGCTCATTTGCCTGACCCACTGCTTTGCACCGGCCTCCAAGTGGACATCTGAAGGCTCCAGTGATAAGTAAAATACACCCCCTGAAAAATTAAGTCTGGCTAGGCAATAATCTATGACAAAAATAGCTACTAAGATCAGCCTCCACATTACATCAAGGGAACTGAGGAGAAACCAGCTCAGTCCGAGATCTTCCCATGAAAGATGAAACAGTATTTATACTGATTAATTAAACAGATATAGTACCAACAAACTGGCAAGATTACTTCTTTGGTAAAAGCCCCAAAAGGTAAAACTCGGTCACCTGGACTGAACTGCAAACTAATGAAAGTTTTACCATTTGTTGTTAATTGCCACTAACTTACAGCAACCCTTGTGAGACCTCCAAGTCACCTTGTTATCAACAATCCTGCTGAGGTCTTTCAAATTCAGGGCCATGATTTCCTTGACTAAGTCTATCCAGCTGTAATTTCATCTTCTTCTACTGCTTTTCACCTTATCAAACATTGTCATTTCTAGTAAGCATGTCTTCTCATGATATGGCCAAAGGATAGTAGTCCCAACATCATCATCTTTTATTTTAGGAAAAGTACAGGCTTGATTTGCTCTTGAAAATCATTTGACTTGTATCCCATTCCCAAAATGGATCACTGTCAAAAATGTTAAACGATTCAAAACCGATAGCTACACAATGCTCAAAATTTGGTTTACAGTGAGTAGCAACGAGACTTCACTCTTTCCTAGCACTTTTTGGAGATACAAAGGATTGAACATGGGAACTTTGAGAGTAGATCATGTGCTCTTACCACCGAACTGTGCATGGCCCTTATGTCCCAAGAGACAGGCATTTCATATGGTGGGGTGATAACAAGATTAGAAATAAGACTGGTCCAGGCTTTTCCCAGACATCTTGAATCTATCAAACAAAGCAGCTTTTGAACAAAGTCACTTTTCTTCCCCATTGCTTATTTTGGGCAATTGCTTATTCGCATCTGTATGAAAATTTTACTTTTTGCTGAAAATACTTCCCACTCTTATCACTGAACCAACAGTAACTGTGCATGCTAGAAATTCCACAGTGTCCTATAATAAAAGTTTGCCTTTGACACTTGAGTGTTAGTGAAGCAGAAAGCAAAACAAGCATGCTCCAAAAATGGCATCACACTGAGAAGCTGGACTTTAAAAGCTAGCCTCCCCACCAACAAGTTCAAAGGCAAGGACAAATGTTATTCCTTCTAAATGGAATCACTCTCATTATCCTCTCGAAAGTGGTATGTCAAAAGGGGCTAGAAATCAGAAACTTAACAGGAAAAAAGGAGATCAGAGAAAAGGTACTATGATTAAATAGTTTATGAAGGAGTTTGCAGTCCACCAGTGCTCTTTCAGGAGGGTAAGTTACACCAAGAAAGTTTACAGTCATTGAGTTATGAGAACAAGTTATTTCTGCACCACACAAAGCAACCCCTGGAGACTCCTATAATAATATTTTTAAACGGTTACCAACCAGACCTGCCTTGCTAAAAGATGGACTTTCAAATTATTCAGACTAAAGCAATGCAGTATTCCGCAATCAGCTTCATTCAACCTACACACCTTCCTTGACTACAAGGTTTTCTAGTTATGTTTCTAGCCTCAGGCATTGATCTATTCCACAGGCAATTAACAATGTAATTTATATCCTGCCAGTGTAGTTTATTAATGAAACTTTTAAACTTCTTAAGCAACAAGCTGTTAATCTAAGGTAATTAAAGTATATAATGTAGAAATAAGGTTTAGCTAAGTACAAGAGTGCAACTACGTAGGCTTTTGAAGCAGAAACTTCATGCTGAAGATATGTTAGCTTTGTGGCCATTTAGTAGGTGCACTGAAAGCTATTATACTCCAGTGAACATTTCTCAGTTCTGAACAAGTCACAAGGTGCTCAAAATCGGAAGGAATTGGTTATCATTTTTATTCACAGCAGCAAACTTGATGGAAGTCAATTAGCAAGGCAACTATTCCGTACATATGATAGAAGTTTGTTTTACTTGGAGAAAGTCCAACTCCAGATATACACTTGCTCAAGATCTGTTGGCAGAACCCTTCTTCTCTATGAACATTCTTGGGAGCAATGCTTTGAGAAGACATTGCTCACAGCAGTTGCACCCCACTTATGGAGTAGCCTTCTTAAGAGGCCTGCTTGGTACAAAAGCTGATGTCATTCCAGCATCAAATCAAAATAATTTTTTTATTAAAATTTTTGAGGTTTAATTGATTGCATCCAGATAGGCTCATGTGTAATGGTTTAAATTATTTGAAACAATTTAAATAGTCTTTTAATTGTTAATTGGGTTAAATGAGAATATTTTCTTGCTTCTTGGCAGGGAGTTGACTGGATGGCCCACAAAGTCTCTTTCAACTCGACAATTCCAACATGCTTTTATTCTTTCAAGACACTTCTTATTGTATTAAATTGTTCTAAATTGATTTTATTGTGTGCTGCCCTGAGATATTAGTAAATAGGGTACTATTTAAACATTGTTGTTGTTTCTTCTTTTAAAGGAGCTTTGACTCCTGTAAATTGATGCTTGCTACTTGCAGCTACTTGATATATTCATTTCCTACTCCCAAAACAGAAGGTTTATGAGCCCTATGTGAACTCAGAGATATTCCTAATGCACGAAAGTGGCAAGTATTTCCAGTTCCACTGGGCCATCTGCCATCTAACCCGTATTCATATCTTTCAGCCTCAACAGTTTCCTTTTCTGTATTATTTTGTGACTGGTTACGCCCACCATCTTGCAATGATAACCACACCACTGTCTTCACATTATAGATACAGAAACTAGTTCATAGAGAGAGTATGAATTAGTGGAATAGATTAAGTGAGATCATGATGTGCCCAGCCAACTTGAGTCCCTATATTTGGAGAAAAACAGGATAAAAATAAAGGAAAAAATGTGCAACATGGACCGTATAGCTCTGGGGGAAAAATAGGTCAAAGAGAAGAATGGATAGAGCACCACAACACAATAGGTATTACAAGTTGCAGTTGCTTTCACTGGGCTAACAAGGTATTTCCTAGTCCACAGCAAGTGTAAGGAGGAAACTTTTGCATGATCTGATGGAGTAATCTCAATAGCATCTGGGAGAGATTGGATCACAGAGTTCTCCAAGGAGAAAACAATGTTTGTTAGTGATCTAAAGGATGAATTATTCAAATATATGTGTAATCATGCTGTCTCTTTTCAAATGTAAGTTCTACAGAAGTGCAGAGTTCACATTTGCTGAAAACTATTTTAATATACTTCATCACTAGCCAAGGATTTGAAATCAGCATCCATACTCAGCCCCACTCCTATACACTGTGAACTCCACATAGCTGATCAATACTGAGAGACTGAGCAATTGTGTAAGTATGCACTTGCATCTCTGAAAATTAGCCAGATCCTGGAGATCAGTGTTAAATATTTACTTCTGGATTATTGCTGGCACTTGCTTGTCGGTTCAATGAGCTCTGAGATCTAATACACCGAAGGAGGGCACCCTGAAGGCAACACCTCCGGGATTTTAATAAACACACACCCCCAGGGTGCTTCAGTGCAAACTGTTTTAAAGGCCCTTTAAATATATATGGCACTGTTTACTCATTATTCAGCGATACTGCCATTCATAATCTACCTTACAGCACCGTTTCATCACGTAATTGCCTGGATTGTGTCGCAGAGCTTTAAAACCCCGCGCAAAACAGCTAAATAAGATACTTTTTTGAACTTTGTCCTGCTGCAGTACAAGGAATTTGCTGTTAAGACAATTAGCGGAAACATGATAAGCTACTGTAGTCGGTTTCCTTGGCAACTGCAATACACAGAAGAGCTGTGCTCTTTTCGGACACCAAGCAAGGAAATCAAACCACGGACAAGAAAGAGCCATGTGAAGTAGATTCAGCAGTTTGAGAAGATCGGGTTATCTCCCAATCTTCTCCACAAAGGCTGACTCTGGAGGTTATCTGACCAGAACAAGGTACAATGAGACTGAATACAGTTTCGAGGCAGCACTGCTGAGCCATCTGTGGGGTTTTTTTCCAGGTGCAATGGTCATGAACAAGATTTTAAACATACGCTCACTAGGATTTGTTGGACAAAACAAATCTACAGACAACAGTGCAACTGGAAGTCCAAATTGTGCTACCCTTTAGTAAAACAAAACAAAACAAAACATTTTCTCTGCACTCAATTGAAACAAATGACTGAATTACTACCCCACTATAACTGTTCTGTTCCCATAGATTTTCAAAAGACTAGAAACTGAATATCTGAAACAAGAGCTTCACAATAGCCCAAACACTTACTGGTATATCAGCAAGGATTTTCTTATTCCCAAATGCTTATCAATAGCAGTAAAAAGCAAACGCCACTGAAATTACACTATTTATTTATTTATTTATTTATTTACAACATTTCTATGCCGCCCTTCTCACCCCAAAGGGGACTCAGAGTGGCTTAAAGTAATATGTAAATACAATATATTATATTATTACCATAGCACAATATTAATATTATATATTACTATATTGTACTATACATTATACTGTAATATTAATAGTAATATTACATGTAATAGA